AGGGCCCCCATGCCGTCAGAAGGTGCCGCCGCACCGCATTAGCGAGTGGTGGTGCGGGCAGACAGACATGCCTGTGTCTAGGGTGTGCCTTGTCAGGAGGGACAAGCCGGAATAGAGTAGGGTGCAGATTGAGTGCGGGGAGAGAGATGCTCTCTATTGAATGAGATCTCTCGGGTACGTCAACACGGGATGAAGACAAGTATGTCGTCGTTCTTGATCAAGCACAATTGATAATTCTGCGCGAGCTGGGTTGTTTCAGCGAGGCCTAGAAGAGTCCACGACAAGATTCTTCTTGAGCCCACCTCGACGTCAGGCGGTCGATGCGTCGTTTGCTTGAACTAGGAGCAAGCATGGTGAGCGTTGAGTAATAGAGCGATGCTGGTCTCAACGTCTCGACTAGCCAAACTGCATTCGTCAGAACGCCGTCAAAGCGAGCTGAAGAAAGATGAAATACTTTGCGTCTCTCGTGATTTCTATTGCGCTCTTTCAACTGTCCAGGATCTGTTTGGGGTAATAGCAGACAGTCATCGTCTTTGATGCGATACTGGTCGCTTGGGAGATGCCGTTGGCGAACGCATGAATCGCATTCGTTGTTGATCAACAATGCCAGCCAGGACAATTCACTGTTTGCTGGAGGTGACACCGGCGTGATGGCTGATCCAATAGATCATTCGATGACGCGGTTTAGACCAGGATCGGACGTGTTCTCCTTGACAGTGACGTTGTTTTGAAGACCGAACAGAAGAAAAGTGGTGGACGGCTGGCAGATGTCTGGCAGCCAGGTGTTAGGGGTTCCAGGGTAGGGCACCTGACACTTTTGTTCCGGGAAAGAGCTGCAGCGTTCCGAAAGTGGACCCTTTTGACGTTGACATGGCAACGGCAATTACGCGAAGCTCCATATCAACAAAACCCTCCGCCCGCTCTTCCCTGACTTTGGAGCTTCCAGTTCAACCATTACAGCATCATGTAAATAAACGACAACATAACTCTCGACAACCGCATTGTACTAATCCAACCAGCAAGCACAACAACCACCCAGTCTATCTCATCTTTGTTTTTTTTTTGCACCCGCCCTCAAATCCCACACGCATACACAAGATGGAGCCTCAATCACCCCCTAAGCGTATCACGCGCTCGAGAGCTGCAAAGACTGCCGATACCACGACGAACACTAGAGCTACCAAGATCGTGACCGCTGCGGCCAAGGCCAAAGCTAGCGTTTCTGCCCCGACGCGATCAACCTCAGCGAAGAGAAAGACAAGAGCCGATGATGCTGAGGAGGAAGGGCACAGCGAAGAGCCACAACAATCAGAGGCCGCACCTCGTGCCACAAGAGCTACACGAGGCCGCCCCAAGAAGACAGAAGAGCCCGCGGCACCGGCAGCGGCACCCTCCACGTCAAGTGGTGTTCCTGGCCGGGCAACTCGTGCACGAGCTGCTGCTCGACAGGTTTCCGGCACATTGCCCTCAGCTCCGAAAGACGAGCCAGTAAAGCCCACCCGTGGCCGGCCTAGAAAGGTGGTAGCTGAAGAAGCTCCCGCCAAGGAAGCGGAGCCAGTGAAGAAGACGACGACGCGTACTCGCGCAGCACCAGTCACAGCAGCAAAGCCCGCCGTCAAGAAGACGGTAACATTCCAAGAACCCGAAAAGGAAAACATCGCTCCTGACGCAAGCAAGAAGACGACCGAGAAGCCCGCAGCTACCACTGGTCTCAGGGGCAAACCAGTACGAAAGCCCCCCGTTCCCAAGGCACCTCGATCTACCAAGTCCGCCGCCGCCGCCGTCGCCGCCGCCGCCTCCTCCACTACGAAGACGGACAAGACTCCTCTGAGCCCTAAGAAGGTTACTCAGGTCCCCATGCCTCGCGACTTCTCCGATGACGAGTTGGCCGGCCCGGACACGCCTCCGCGACCAATGATGAAGAGCCCGACAAAGCCACCCACTGGTGCCCTCGGATCCTCCAAGAAGCTCAACCTGCTCCCCGCCGACAAGACTTCAGAATCAGAGCAGATTCATGATGACGAAAACTCCACCAAGCCTACGGACCAAGAGGACGAAGCCACAAATGCCCTCGCTTCTCCTGCCAAGAGACTTCCCAACTCGCCCTTCCGGGACTCGATGAAATCCCCGGCGAAGCGTGCCGAGGGAGTTTCTCTGAAGCCTGCAGCATCCATGCAACCGAGCGGCGAGAACGGTGCCGTCGCCTCTTTCAAATCGTCTCTGCTTCAATCGCCCGCCAAGCGTCCGCAGTCCGCCATCAAGCCCTTTGCTCTGCCCTCGACCAACGAGGGCGAGAAGAAGATTTCCAACTTCAAGGCCTCTCTGCTTCAGTCACCAGCTAAGCGACCTTTGTCCCCTATCAAGGGTATGGCTGCAAGGCCCATGGAGCGACTTGAGGAAATGCAATCTCCTGCTACAAAGCCTCTGTTGCTGTCCACGCCCACTGCTCTGCGCCCTGTCAAGCGATCTTCCGAGAAGCTCATGGCCGAAGAGTCGCATGACGAAGCTGAGGATGATGACGAGCTGGATGAGGTCGCAGAGGCCATGCTTAACGAGTCCATTCACTTGGAAGAGCCGATGCAATTCCCTGGTCGCCTTTCAGCTGTCCTGCCAAGGCACGCCGACCCCGTGCTTAAGAAGAACATGCCTGTTCTCGAGGCTCCCACTGAGGAGACGAAGCTTGTTGAGGAGAACAGCCATGCTCAGCAGTCAGAGGAGCTTGCAGAGGATGACGTCTTTGTTGATGAGGCTAATGAGGATGGTTCGGGTTCGGACGGAGAGCCTATGATGGTCGACGACGAAGCCTACTTCCAGCCTCAAGCCGCGGCTGCACCCCAGCTCACCCTGAGTGCCCCCAGCGGCATATTCGGCCTGCGCCAGAAGGATATGGACCCGTACAGCAACATGGAGTCTGACTCTGACGATGAGCTCGCCAACAGCCCCAGAGTCTCTTCAGCTCACAACTTGGTTCTTGCCACCCCCGCCAACTCCCGACGAAGCATTGCCAAGTCTCGGGTCTCCAGTGTTGGTTTCACTCCCTTGGCAGACCAGCTCAACGCTTGGTCTGCTGCCAGCCCTTCCAAGACACCCAGGCGGCCCGTCACCCCTGGACGCCCAGGTGCTGCCACGCCTCGCGCAGAGGAATCTCCCCTCCGAAGCACGTACTTTGAAGATGAGATGACCGTCCGGGCCGATATGGACGCTCAGAATGAGATTGAGGCTGCAATTGAGGCTGAGATTTCCGCCACTGCTGAAGCCGAAGATCCCGAGTTCGACGACCTCATGGTCACTGAAGAAGACATGGCTCTGGCGGCCGAGGCCAATGAGATGTCTCTGATGGAACCTGAGGAGCTTGATGAGATTGTCAACACGTCCAACAGCTTTGATGATACTCTCTCCGAGGCGAGCCAAGAGTACGGCGATGAGAACGACATGCCCGTTGATCCCGCCATGTTCGGTGGCGATGCGTATGTCCCGCCAGTGACTCCTAACCGTGTTCTGGCGCGCGAGTTTTCCACCGTCTCCAAGGTCCCTCTCAAGCCTGCCGACGAGTCGACCCCTCGCCCCAAGAAGAGGCGTGCTGCCAGCATTTCCCGACTCCCCGTCAGCCGCCCAAGCCTGAACAGGAGTGCTACCGTCATCTCCTACTCGCCCGGCAAGAACCAAAAGGATGAGGAAGAGCAGAACGACAACGAGTTCGACTCTGCTCCCGTCACTCCGGCCAAGTCTGATATCTGGTCGAGCCTCGGAACGCCGGCGCGCACTCCCCGCCGAGACCTCAACTCGGGTCTCCTCCGTGGAGCCGTCGTTTTTGTGGATGTACACACCACCGAGGGTGCGGATGCCAGCGGCATTTTTGTCGAGCTTCTTGGTCAGATGGGAGCCCGATGCGTCAAGACCTGGAACTGGAATCCAAGCGCTACTGGCAACTCGGATGCCTCCAAGATTGGCATCACTCACGTCGTCTTCAAGGATGGCGGTAAGCGCACGATGGAGAAGGTCAGAGAGTCAAATGGTGTTGTGCAGTGTGTCGGTGTGACCTGGGTTCTTGAGTAAGTTTCTTCTGATCCTCATGAATGATGATGTTTGGCTAACCAGTCCGCACAGCTGTGAGCGCGAGAACGAGTGGCTCGAAGAGGCACCCTACTACATCGACACCTCCATGGTTCCCCGTGGAGGCGCTCGCCGTCGCAAGAGCATGGAACCTACAGCGCTCGCTAACCAGAACGGCATGCTTGTTCCCACGCCCGTCAAGGCTGGCCGCGATGCCAAGACTGCGCCCAACACGCCCATGAACCGACGTGATAGCACGGTGTGGATGCACACCCCTTCAGACGAGGCCGAGGACGACGATGATGACTGGCAGGGCCTGATCTCTCCCGTTCCCGTCACCCCTGCGCCTGAGGCTCTTGCTCGCTATGCTGCAGAGACGCCTTCTGGGATGACCGAGTACGACTCTTCTCCCACCAAGACTCTGCACATGCAAACCTGCCCTCCTAAGCAGAACGCCTTTGTCCAGATGGGCGAGGGTATTCTCAACAGAGACAAGGACGAGAGCGTCATGCAGCGCCTGATGGCTGCTCGCAGGAAGAGCTTGCAGTTTGCTCCCAAGATTGGCAGCCCCTTGGCCAAGGCCTGGCGCTAGATGTTGATTAGTTTGCAATTGTTTTGTCGTTTTGTCGACTCAGGCTTAGGCCGAGATGCGACGGGATTGGTTTTAGACGGCGTTTACACGGGATATGGGATATGGGTTCCGAAAGGGCCTGGAATACGGTGTTTAGGTTATTAGATTGGTTGTACATCAGAACATACGCTGGCTGCGAGGACGGCGTCGATTGTCTTTGAACACAATTTGAACGGAACTTTTTGCTCTCACTGTATTTTCCTCACCTAGGCTTGTGATGTTTGTCTTGGTTGCAACTTTGAAAGTTGATGTTTGTAAATATTCCCAACTCCCCGGACCCTTGTCCGTATCTGGCAAGGTGACGCATGTTGGCCGCGCGTTCTTTTGATTGGACCAACCAAAGTCCCGAGTCTCCAGAGAGCGCGCTTGACTTGACTCGGTGTTCCGGGATGGGAGAAGAAGGCATTGATTGATAAGGAAGATCCATCCGACACACATGAGACTCCAAGCTTTGATACTCCATTTGGATTGTGGCGAAGATGATAATCTAGACTTTTTTTCCCCTCGTTCTTTCATACATTTCTGTTCACATTTCATAGAGTCACCAAAGAAAAAGCATGCGTTCACTGCGAGCCTTGACGGCGTCGCTGCTAGCGGTGCAGTTCGCTCCCGTCGCGGCGGATGAGGTACAGAAACCCGTGGGTGTATCATCATCATCGTCGTCATCATTGACATCATATCCATCATCTCAAGACGAACCCGGCCCTTCATCACCGTTTGCAACAACACCAAAGAGTGACGATACAGGCCCATCATCATGGTACGCTCGGCTGAATTACTCGTCGCCCGCGCCGCACCTGTTTGCTTCGGCATATGGATTGCTCCAGCAGTGGAGTAATACCGTGTTCCCCAACGGACATACGATGGCGGCGGTGGAGGTTCCCGCGTTTACGCTGTTTTATCACGGGAGGATGGATGAGGAGGATGTGCCGAGTCCGGAGTGGCTTGCTTTTGATATGTGAGTCTTTTTGCAGCACGTTCGCCCCCCTTGCGCGTTTTTATGTGTGCCCGTGGTATTTCTGGTTTCGATACGTGTTTTTTGGTGATGGATGATGTATGGTGTGTGTGTGGCTGTGACCAGAGTCTTGACGATAAAGAGGTACTTAACTTGAGTAAGATATCTCGGACAGGCTAACACGAATACAACTCCAGAGAAATGGCCTACGGCATAATGGGCAGCACCCGCCAAAGCTACATGCTAACATACCAAACCACGCGGCCCGTGAAAGCGCTCTACTTTGACGGCGAGTCCGCTGCGCTGATGGGGCTCGGGCAGCTGGACACGCAGATGCTGCATTTATACGGCAACGTATCCGGTCCGGAGAGTGATGGAGGTCCCTGGCGCGGGTTAGAGCCCGAGTATGAGAGGGCCATGGGGCTCTGCGACTGGTTGTTGGAGAAGGGGTTGCGCGGACCGGGGTGGGGGTTTGAGGGGGTGGTGAGGATGAATACGGGGTTTGAAATGATTTGGTGTGATTTTGGGGGTGGGGGAAGTTTGAGGTTGGTTGGGAGGGGGAATGTTACTGCGCCGCAGTTGAGGGAGGGGGATGATGATGATGATGATGGAGAGAAGAAGGTGGAGGGGAATGAGGTTGAGGGAGATGCGAAGAAGGCTGGTGGGAGGATGCATGGCGAAGAAGGGGTGCCGACGTCGGTGTACCCGCTCCCGCCGCAGCCGACGCTGACAGACCGCCCCGTGAGCCCTTCCCGTCCGCCGATGCCGCCCAACTGGCGCGGGATCATGGGTCCCGCCGAGCGGGAGCCGTTTTTACAGACGCAGGGGTGGGGATGGTTTGCTTCCGCGACGTGGCATTACGGGTCCAATGGTCTCGGGCAGGGGAAAGGCGAGACGAGGGCGCGGGTGCTCGGGTGCGGGATCACGAGCTGGTACGCGGATCGGTTCTGGGGGTCCGGTGTGGAGGAGGAGCGGACGAGGTTGAATCTTACTGCGGAGGGGTATTGGAGCGGTAATGGAGGAGATGGTGGTGTTGGGAACCGGAGTGAGGCCTTGGCGAAGCTTGGGAGGCGGAGGAGGATGCATCATTTGGAGAATGTGACGGCTGAGATGGCGGCGGGGATGAGGTGGGAGACAGAGGTGATGTTACGGGATGCACTTGTGGGCGAGGGGGGGTGTAGTGGGATGGAGTGGGTGAGTTCCATGGGGGAGATTGTGCAGCGGACGGCCGGGCATTTGATGGTTATGGAGGAGGGGGCGAGGTTCGGCGGCGATGGCGATGGTGATGACCGGGACTGGGGGAATGTGACGGCGGTGAGGGAGTGGTTGTACAAGTTGCGTGGGCAGAGCCACATGTTTTTGGTTTCTTTCCTGGAGTATCCGCGCGAGATTGATCGGCAAACGTGGGATGTCCGGGGCGCGCTGTTTGCGGAGACGTATTCGCGGTGTCGGTATCGGTATACGAGGTTGATGGTTGATTTACCGCTCAGCGTGAGGGAGCGAGATCTGAGGGGCGCGGTGGAGGAGGTCATGGGTGGCATCTGCGGGGTGTTGCTGGAGGTAGGGTTCGGTATCGAGAGGACGTGGTATGATCTCGAAAGAGGGGAGACGTCGGAGCTGGAGGCTGCGAGCGAGAGGTGGGCGGATGGGGTGAGGCGGCTTCGGGCGTGGGTTGGTTGGGAAGGGGAGTTCATCCGGTGCCGGGAGGTGTGCGGGTGGGATGAGCGGTGCTATATCCCCATGTGGCCGTTGTTGAGGTCCATGTGGGGTGGCAGGAGACCGAGGCCGCCGCCGTCGGAGGGTGGACCGGGGAACGGGACGGAGCCTGGGTATGGTCGGCCGCCGCCGCCGTATCGGGGTCGGGGACCTGGCTATGGTGGGAACCATACCGGGCCGCCTGGGCGTGGGATGCCGGGGCGAAGTCCGATATGGATGGGCGATGAGACGGATCTGTGGGAGCCAAAGTGCGTTAAGATGGAGGATATCATGCCCAGGGCGAGGGGTGACTAGATTTCAGTTGCGTCGTCAGTGAGTCAATGTTAATGGTGCTCATGGTTCAGCTTCGCGTATCAATGTCAATGACGGCAATAGGTCGGCGTTCGTCGAGCTGTCAAAGTTGTCAAGGGCCGAGTCTGGTCCAGATCGAATCACGGTGAGCACGCCGTCTTGGTAGAAACAAGTGAAGTCCAATGCAGTCAACCTGGGAAGAAGGGCGTTCAATTCTATTTGAAGCTCGAGACATTGGTCATCTGATCTGTGTACCACAAAAGTTAGCCTTGCCGTGATAAGAAACTGTACCGAAGTGGACGGAGACGAACCATTGAATAACATGTGTAATCCTGGGCCTGAACAAACATAACCTAAAACTTTTACTCCGAAGTCTATAACCATGCCAGCCGTCGACCACCCCGACCCGTTCATGAGCGCAGGTACGCCTTCATCGCCTTGACCGCATCGCCGTCGTTGGCCTTGAGCAGCTCCGTCGCCTTGGGCTTGGTGAGCTCCAATTCGTCAACCTATGTCCCGTCAGCATGTATCCGTCTCATACGTTCCCGTCATTCAACAAGTCTGCCTCGCCTCCAATGGCCTGGACCCCCATTTCCCGGCCCTCCCCCGTTGTATCAGGTAGGTTGGACTAACCAGCAGCGCAACGTCGGCGGCATCGACCTTGACATTCTTCACCTCCTTCTTGGCAGCGGTGGCGCCACCAAGACCCTTGATCGCCTTTTGTGCGGCATCGACATCGACCTGACCGCTTCCTGAATCGTCGCCGCCGGCATCGAGACTGGCGAGGGCGGACGCCGCCTTGCGGTCCTCGGCTGACTTTGCGGGCTGGACCTCCTCCTCGACATCACCGGCGGTGGCGCCCTCGACGACGGTGGGGGGCTGCTTCTCAGACATTGTATTCGGAGGGTATATGTGATTGGATAATTGTTCGATTCGAGGGACTTCGGGTCGGAGTTCGAGAGGTGGGACTGTCTTCGCGTGTGGTTGAAGAGCTGTGACGTTGTGTGGACAGTCGGGCACGACACGGCGGCGCAGGAGGCAGCTCTATCGGAATCGAATTTGTGGTGGGGCAGGTTTAAGGTGGGGGCGGGGAGGGGGAGAGCTATGGTACGGTACGTACCTCGCCGAAGGTACGTAGTAGGTATCCGCAGGTGAGGGGAGGTGTGCCGCCACGGCCGCTTACACCGATGGTGAGCGTTCGAGGTAGGTCGGTACGCCTCGGCATAGCGTTGCCCTGGAGGAGGACAATGTACAACTTTATTTCTCAGGTTTAGCACCAAGACGCACACCACAAACTCGACACACAAACACGCAGGGTTTGACGGATGGTCTGGTTCCTGAATTTGCTCTCTTCGGTTCCGTCCCTCTCGTTGCCATTGGCCAGTTTCGAGCGAAGCAAGCACACCGTTGCAGGTTGCCAGGCCCTTGCCCGTTATTAAGGATTTTTCTGCTCGCATTCATCCCACTCACCGGTCCATTTCACTACCTGACCACCTTACCTAGTAAGGTAGGCACAGCGGAGTATCCAGATTCGATCACTTCGTGTTCCATGCGCTTTTGAACCAGTTTGCTTGTTGACTCTCACCAAGGTACATATACTAGGTCTCTTTCCCTCTGTCATGACTTTCAGGATGAATCATGTTCAAAGCCATTGCTGATTTCACTTCAAGTCAACTTACCTACTATTTCTCCAGCTTCCATCTACGTCTGTTCTGGGCAATAAATCACCTTGGCACCGCTTGACTGTCCACTTTCCGTCTTGAGTCACCAACACCGGTGACCAACACAACACAACACATCACACCATGTCCTCCTCCGCAGAATGGTCGCCCGACTCCTGGCGCTCAAAACCCATCAAACAAGCTCCTGCCTACCCAGACGAAGCGGGCTTGAAAAAGTCCGTCAAAGAACTGGGACGTCTACCCCCCATTGTTCACCCAAAGGAGATTGTCGCACTCAAGCAGCACCTGCGTGATGTGGCCCTCGGCGAGGCTTTCCTGCTCCAGGGCGGTGACTGCGCGGAGCTATTTGACTACTGCGAGCCCAATGCAATCGAGTCAAAGATCAAGTTGCTGCTGCAGATGAGTCTGGTTCTCGTCTGGGGTGCCGACAAGAAGGTGGTGCGCATTGGGCGTATGGCTGGCCAGTATGCCAAGCCCAGATCGAGCCCTACGGAAATAGTTGATGGTGTGGAGATGCCTTCATTCCGGGGAGACATCCTCAACGGCTTTCAAGTCGACGAGCGTGAAATCGACCCGCAGAGACTCGTAAAGTGAGTCATGCACGAAATCATGTGTCACCACAAGAGCTAACCAGCACCAAAGAGCCTACCAATACTCTTCGGCAACCCTCAACTACACCAGAGCATGCCTCTCATCAGGCATCGCCGATCTCCACAGGCCGCTGGACTGGGGTCTCGGCCACGTCCGGGACCCGGAGCTGAAGAGAAAGTACTCCGAGGCCGTCCTCTCCCTCACAGACATGCTCCGCTTCCTGCACACCATCGGCGCCGACCGGAGCGACAAGCTGGACACGGTCGACCTCTTCACCAGCCACGAGGGCCTCCTCCTCGAGTACGAGCAGCCGCTGACCCGCCTCCTGGAGACGCCCGTCCCGCGTCCCACAGCGAACGGCAACGGCTCCCGGAACGGCAGCGGCCCCACCGAGACCAAGAAGGAGTACTACGACACCTCGGCCCATTTCCTCTGGATCGGCGACCGCACCCGACAGATCGACGGCGCCCACGTCGAGTTTTTCCGCGGCATCGCCAACCCCATCGGCATCAAGGTCGGTCCCACCACACCCGTAGACGACCTCCTCGCCCTGTTGCGCGCGCTCAACCCGGACAAGGAGCCCGGCAAGATCACCCTCATCACGCGGTACGGCGCCGCCAAGGTCCGCTCGCTGCTGCCGGCGCACATCCGCGCCGTCGAGGACAGCGAGTACAACCGCTGCGTGGTCTGGCAGTGCGACCCCATGCACGGCAACACGGTCTCGACAGGCGGTGGCATCAAGACGCGGCGCTTCCGCGACATCTTTGAGGAGCTGCAGGAGACGCTGCGCATTCACAAGGAGCAGAAGAGTTATCTGGGCGGCGTCCACCTCGAGCTCACTGGTGATGCTGTGACGGAGTGTTTGGGTGGTAGCGAGGGGTTGGACGAGGATGATCTGTCAACCAACTACACGAGTTTCTGTGACCCGAGACTCAATGAGAAGCAGGCGCTCGAGTTGGCGTTCTTGATTGCGGATCACTACAGGAACGAGAGAAGACCGGTTTTGTGAGGGGGCCTTGGACTAGCAAAGTGTACGTTAAGCAGCGGCATTTGGGCATTTGGGAACAAAATTGATGATAAAAAGCTTATCTTTCGTACCTAAGATGAGTTCATCTTGCAGCCAACCTAAGTCATGCCACTAATGCCAGGCACGCATGCTTTACTGACAGTGACAGTCATGGCGTAAAACCCGGGGTAAGCCACAAGCACCACCACTCTTTTCCGCACCTACCTGCATGATTGCCGTAGGACACATGGACCTCTCACGCCGTCAGGAGCGAGCACGCCAGAGGAAGGAATCGATTTGATAATGAAACATGCAACCGCAGCTGGACCGCATCTCGGCTCACCTTGGACCCAACATGCGGGGAGGCCCTGGTGTTGTTGGTTTGTGTCCACCGGCTGGCTCACCGACGCATTCACTTACCCAGCAGGGAAGTTTCAGGCGGATATCAGCGGGCCAAAGATAAGGTGGCAGGTGAGGTGCCCTTTACTTGACCTTACCTACCTTAGGTAAGGTAGCTGCTTAGCAGGCTCTGGGACTTTGTACAGCGCGCCTTACGCCCTTTTACCCCCAGCGGCCGATAAGGGGAGCGGGGCTTCCCCGCGACTCCGCCGGCTACCCGTGACCGAGCGTGTAAGTAAGTACCTTGACCCCAACGCCGTCTCTCCTCTCCTCTCCCTTGATAAGTCCCAAGCTCTCATCTTGCATCCATCATCTTACAACAAACCTTCACACTCTTCTCACCTTACATCGTGAGTTTTCATAGAGTCGAGGCCAGCTTCACCTTTTTCTCATAGTCGTAGCAACACCTGGTCAACACATACCTAGTACTCATCACCCACATACAAGATGGTCTATCCATTCGACTATCTCCAACACCGTCGTGACTGGTCTGCCATCCCACCCGTGCCCATAACCCGCAAAACCCCCCGAGGTTCACTAACACGTAGAGACAGCAACTTCAAGCAATCCGAACGCGCAGACAGAATCCGCCGTCTCACTGCCTACAAAGGCCCCTTTTCACCACAAGACCGTCAGATCCTAGACAAACCCATCGAGGAACTCGTCCAAGATGTCCACAAGACCGTCCTGAAACCCATTGACATTCTCAAAACCTACGGTAAAGTCGCCCTCAAAGCCCACGAGCGCACAAACTGCCTCACCGAGGTAATGCTCGAGTCCGCCGAGAAGTGGGTAGCCGACGGCTCCGTCAACCTCAAGGGCCCTCTAGCAGGCATCCCCGTCAGCCTCAAAGACACAATCGTCGTCGGCGGCTACGACACCACCGTCGGCTTCAGCAGCTTCGTAGGCAACAAAACCGCCACCGACGGCCCCGTCGTCCGCCTCCTTAAGGACGCCGGCGCCGTCCCCTACGTGAAAACCAACCTGCCCATCACCCTCCTCAGCTTCGAGTCCACAAACGACGTCTGGGGCCGCTGCACGAACCCGCATAACCCCCGCTACTCCCCGGGCGGCTCCACGGGCGGCGAATCCGCGCTCCTCGCCATGGGAGGGCGCATCGGCATCGGCAGCGACGTCGCGGGCAGCGTAAGAGCGCCGGCGCATTTCTCGGGCTGTTACAGCCTCCGCTGCTCTACAGGCCGGTGGCCGAAACTGGGCTTCTGCACGAGCATGCCGGGCCAGGAGGGCGTGCCGTCCGTGTATAGCCCCATGACGAGGACGTTGGACGACCTGCGGTACTTCACGCGCGCCGTGGTGGGGATGAAGCCGTGGGAGTACGATTACAGCGTCCACCCGCTGGCGTGGCGGTCCGAGACCGAGAAGGCGTGGCTGAACGACGGGAAGAAGCTCCGCGTCGGCGTGATGCGCACCGACGGCGTCGTGGACCCCAGCCCGGCGTGTCGGCGCGCGCTGGAGATGGTGGAGAACGCGCTGCGCAAGCAGGGCCACGAGATTGTCGAGGTTAACCCCCCTTCCCCTTACGAAGGTCTCAAGATCGCCGCCCTGGCGCTCAACGCCGACGGATGTCAGATGTTTAGCACGTTTTTCCGCACGGGGGAGTGGAACGACCCTGGCGCGGCGCAGATGAAGTTTTTGATGAACCTCGCCAGCCCGCTGCGATACTTGTATTATCTCTGGGTCAAGTACGTACGCCGCGACGATATCTGGGCGGGTCTCGTGCGGGACTGGCGGCCGCAGTCGGCGTTTGAGAACTGGAAGCTCGTCGCGAGGCGGGAGGCGTACCGGAATCGGTGGTTTGACTGGTGGAACGCGGCCGAGGTGGACTTTTTGATCACGCCGCCTAATGCGACGCCTGCTGTGCCGCATGATGGGATGAAGGATGCGTGTAGTAGCTGCGGGTACACTTTCCTCTTCAACCTGGTGAGTATTTCTCTTTTTCTTCCCTCTCATACTTCTTTTGAGGAATGGGTGAGTGGCTAATCAACTATCTAGCTCGACTACACCGCGGGCGTCCTCCCCGTGACACACGTGGACAAGGACCTGGACCAGCTTCCCGCAGACTTCAACATTAAGAAGCTCAACGGCGTAGCGTACGGCGCCTATAAGCTGTACGATGCCAAGGACATGCACGGCCTGCCCGTCGGCGTGCAGCTCGTTGGCAGGAGGTTGGAGGAGGAGAAGGTGCTGTCACTCATGCAGAGGGTAGAGGATGCTTTGGGCGACGAAAAGTACAAGCTCTTGGACATTGACTAAGCTTTTTGGGAATGGAGTCAATATGAGAAAGGCGGACTAGATTGTCGTAGCTAATGATTTGCGTCAACTGAAGACAAAAAGATTAAGTCATTCTTCTCCGCCGATTTCGCGACCGACGTATATAATTGTAAATCAGATCATTGGATAGAACCCAGTCATAGGGCCCCCAAATTGGATTCCGGATATAACAAGTCATGTCTACGGAAGCTGCACTACTGTATATCGGATCCCCGTGCCGTGAAAGTTAGAAAGTCGGAGGGAGGGGATGCGGGGCAGCGTGCGGCCGTCGAACAGGTCCGATCTCGGACGGTCGTCGCATCCTCCCAACTTCACTCATTCCACTTAAACTTCACATTGCGTGTAAGTCGGAGACGAGAGAAAGTTATATAAACTCGCAACGTACTCGTAAAGGTCCTTTCCACCTAGTCATACCCCATCATACCCTCCCATCCAGAATCATCTTCCGAATCCTGAATCAAACATGGCCGAACAAAAAGAGGATAAGTGGTCATCCGAGGTAAGCCTTATCAGCTCAAGTATCAATCAGCCATCTTCGCCAGCCTTAGACTCAAAAAATACCCAGGCCTACCAGCACTCCGCCTCCTTCGTACCCAAGCTGGCGACCAAGGTGGTCCAGTGGCTCGACGTGCAAAAGGACGATGTCATCCTCGACGTCGGCTGCGGTGGTGAGTCCCTGACCTCGACCCATCACACATCACACCGGTCCTCTCGACGATGGACTTGACCACAATACAGAACACCAGGCTAACGTTCAAGCAGACGGCATCCTCGATGTCGAATTCGGAAAAGTCCTCTCCCAAGGAAAAGGCTCCCTCCACGGCATCGACGCCTCCCCAGGCATGATCTCCGCCGCCAAAAAGGCCGTCTCAGCAGCAGGCCTCTCAAACTGCGAGTTCGAAGGTACAGCTCTACCCTCTCTCTCTCTCTCTCTCTCTCTCTCATATCTTCATCCTATCCAGACGAGCTGGCATCCCTTTCCTACACGAACTAACACTTGCCCCTCCCAGTCCTCGACGCAACAAAAACCACTACATCCTCAACACCCACCCTACACACCCCAACCTTCACAAAAGCCTTCTCCAACGCAGCCCTCCACTGGATCCTCCGCCCCCCAGGCTCCCACATCCCCGTCTTCACCGCCATCCGCGACGCCCTCCTCCCGGGTGCCACCTTTGCCCTCGAAATGGGCGGTCTAGGCAACGTAGCCGAGATGCGCACCGCCATCGTCATGGCCGTCGCGCGGTGCGTGGGGATAGAGAAGGCCGTCGCCGTAGACCCCTGGTTCTTCCCCGACGAGGAGTGGATGAAGACGATACTCGAGAAGGAAGTCGGTGGGTGGGAGGTGTTGAAAGTCGAGAGGGAGTGGAGGCCTACGACGGCGGATAAGGGCGGCGTGGAGGGGTGGGTTAGGTTGATGGGGAAGGAGCTGTTGGATGCTGTGCCGGAGGAGGGCGGGCAGAGGGAGGAGGTTGTTAGGGAGATTGTGGAGGTGTTGAGGCATGTTTGTAGGATTCCGGGGGATGGAGAGATGATTAGCTATGTGAGGTTGCGGTGTCTTGCGAGGAAGCTTTAGATTGAGAGGCTGGGTGGGTATGTGTCTGGTGATGGGAACGAGAATTAGAGAAGTGTGTAGACGCTGGCTCGGCACTTCTGTTGCCAATCATCCCCTACGTATAAAACGCGTTCACTCTTGAAGGACCAGAACGACAGGAAAACACACCACTTGCAATGGTTACAAGTGGAAAGGTTTTCGGTGGGAGGGGTCATCAAAGGCAAGAGGCCAGGGGCAACGAGACCAACCTCGAACGTCTCTTTCTTACAAAAGCTGCCCAAGGACACTCACCATCTCGTTCGCTCCACCTCGCTTCGGCTCGAACGTATTCGTTACGAACAGTCACGTCCTACCGAGGGCTACCTAGTCATGGACATTTAATTCAAACAAGTGCTTTAAGTTATAGCACCAAGGCTGCCTTGGCCTGCTGGTGTTAAAGTAGAGCTTTCCGAGAGAAACCTGTGGTTTACCTATCCTGAGCTCGCCTCTACCTGGGCACTGGCCCATTACCTACTAATTTCGGCTAGAACATGTCTAAAGCAAGAACGCTTTTAAGAAGCGAACTCTGCGGGCGTGGCTCCTCAATTTCACTCTTTGTAATGCCTGGAAAGAGGAGACGGCATTGGATCATGCACCGCAGTTAATCGAGTAGTTGGTCCACACATGCTTTGAAAGCGAAACCTTTGACGCGCTGCCACTGATAAAGAGATTGAGTCAAAGCATAACTCGTCACAGACCATCATAAGGACGGGCATTTCAGGAGGCAATGATACGTCAGCTACGCCCTAAGTCTACTTCCATGGCTCTCCTACCTTCATATATCGTGATCAAGTTTGCACAGTCTCGTAGAGATGCGCATTTAGTTACTATAAGTAGGCTCACGCTCAACTCAATCCCATGTTCCATGCGCCACACCACCGGCAGACTTGTTGTGATGCTCCTGTTCTTTGAGACAGCCTTTAGTAGCTTATATCCTTCAATCCATGATGAACCATGGCCAGCCCTTGTACCTCATCTTCCAACTACTCAAAGACCCTCCAATCACCCTATCACCTGTTCTAGTCTCTGTCCCGCGCATCGACGCCACGAATACGTGCGAGAGCGAGACGAACGGTGTAAGAGAGGTAAAGTTAAGGCTTTAGCACAACTCGGGCTTTTCCATTCCGAGGGCGTTCATCCGACTGCCGCTATCAAGTCTTCCTCACTCAGCTGACATCGACACAAGTGCCAGCTCAAGGCTACCGCCGCGTGGCTCTCGAGAACATCAGCATCCATCCGTACCGACTACCTTTATTCTCAATCCCCGTGAGGCGTCCTTATCCGGCCTTGTGCATTGAGGCAATTGGGGATAATGAAAGATTCATCTTTGTGAAAACCTTTCAAAGGGTTCATGTTTCCCGCTCGGCAAATGGAGCATGGTCTCGAGAAGCCGAACCCTTCTTCCCAGCCATACCGACTCGCTTTCTAGCAACTCAAAAGCGTCACCAATCTGATCAATAGACACATTCCATCCCCTCAAAAAGCCGTAATCTCAATGGAAAGGTCTTTATCTCATCACCGGGCAAAATCACACCCTCTTACCGACGTAGACTAGACCACCCGAAAAGAGAAGAGGCTATAAATACCAATCCGGCCAACCACGTAAGCGTTTCGAAGAAATTCTCACGATGTTGGGACGAACTCTTTCTCCCCAATAACCGTACTAGGATTTTGACCAGCTCGCACGGTCACATGATCTAAATCCATCCATCTCAAGAAACGAATGATGCTCTTCGAGAGCACGAGCACGAGCACGAGCACGAGCCTCATGCCGAAGGGATGATAGAAATTACCCGGTCTCTCAACAGTGACTCTGGTCCTTCCCACTCACCTTGGTCCGGAAAGCATATCATACATGAAGTAAACTACTCAATAGGCCAACGAAACCAGACCAAGAAGCCCTGGGAAGATCAGAGGCGAGATGACCGGGCAAAAGACGCGTTCAATGCTGACGGAACCCGTCCGAACTCCACCCAACCCGGACACTATCCGTATAACCACCACTTTCACCCGGTTCGTCCGTCCGTCCGCCCGCCTTGCCCCACCATCCCCGAACTCGCAACGGCATCATTCTAATCCTATCCATCTCATCTTCCACTATCTCCGTACCTGAAATACTTACCTGCCTCAACTCAACAAAGTCTCACTCTCCACCTACAGCACCCACTGAATCCTCCACTTGATCAAGCTCATCCCGGTAGTAATCACATCATCCCCAGGTCCCGCCCGGCGGCGCTCACAAATTAAGCGTCAGCCGAGAGAGAGAGAACATCAACATCACCCATAAGTTGCCGTCACGCCCTATCAAACCCGTCGTATCCGCCGTCCCCAGATTTCCCAAACCTTCTCGCAAAGCCCTTTTCTCACTTTTCCAGGGATTTTCACCACAGGGGGTTTGATATCAAAGATAGCATTACCAAAGTAGGCAGACCTAAGAAATGGTAGCAAAAAGACAAAATCAATTATTCCCGTGCGTCCCCAGGATCCAAAATACTTACTACATCATTTCAAACCTATAATCTAAAATCACATCATACGACAAAACACACCACAAGTACCTTGGACACGGCATACACCAACAGCGGGGTCGACTTTTCATCCAGCCACGCAACCGTAAAGGAAAAACACAAAACATTAACGGTTTGAAATGCAACCACAACCGTCCACCCAAGCCCTGCACGTACCACACCTACCACATCACAGGAAAAGGTAAGCCGTCCCTCCCATCTCCACTCGATCGTCAGAAGAGGGCAACCCAAGTTTCCCGCTTCTCTTTTCCCTCGATCACATAGACCACAAGTAGGCTCATGCAGCCAACACACGATTCAACGAGTGGCCCCAGCCCAATGAAGACTACTCGAGTCCAGACTTTTCAACAACAGCAAGACGGCGAACGGCGAAGCCGGACCCTGAAAAAGCCGATAGTCGTGAACCGGAGGCACTCCGGTGGGAAGCTTCGGAGGAAGGGATAGTCCGTCCTAGCTATTCCCTGCTGCTTAATGCTCTCTGTAACCTCGTCCCTTACGAGCATGCCCCTGCCCAGAGCGTGTCGCCGTCAGTAATCGCACCCATTTTTGTCACTGTCGTTCACGTCATCTCATGACAGCGGTTCGCACACATGGCAGTGGCTGTGCAAGATCGAATGAAATCGTTATCACTTATCCTATCTACTCAAGGCCCATGAAAACGTTTTCCTTTCTAGATCATGATGATAATTTGAAAACCTGGAAATATAACAAGTTGCCATAGCTGAAAAAAATGTGATATATGGACTTTGCATATATATGAGAGAACATTGACCGCCTGCCACCCCCGCCCATCGTCAAGAAATAATGTGAGGGCGCGGATGGCGGCAAAAATGGTAAGAGATGATGCACATCGCTGAGGGGGGTGTTTCTTAATGCATTCCAGCCAACGCCTTCCCGCTTGCCGTTATTCAGCCGGCTCTCCTCTCGGAGCGCTGCTTCCCGCGGTCCCACTGCTGAGAAGCCCCTGGTAGCTGTAGATGTCGTCTCCTGGTATGAGATTCTCCTCCACGTACAGAACTCGAGGCTTTCGCCAAGGCTCCTCGTTTTTTGACTTTTACTTTTCATTATCTCAGCCATCTTCACGCTTAGAAGTGCTCCTTCCAGAATCGGAAGTTGACTTCGCGGACATCGGCATCCTTGCAAGCCTGCTTGATATCGCGAGCTACATGATTCGTTAGTCAAAATATTATGGAAGAGATGAGAGCAAGATGCTTACCAGCTACTGAGGGACCGCAGAAGTAAACACCGACAGTTGTGCGCATGCTGCCTTCCAAGCCGTTGAGGTATGTTCTATCCAAAATACCATCGCGCATGGTTGTGAAAAGCTTGGAGAAGTTGGGTCTACCAAAGTTCGTGCGGGACTTGAGCTCAGTCAGGGGGTCGTGGTCTGATCCAACCGAGTTGAGCACAATGTTCTGCGTGGTATCCATGTCTAGCTTCTGAGTGAGATAGGTGTGAATCTTCAAGAATTCAACGCCGGAGCTACCAGGAACGCGAGCTGCCTCGTTGGACTGCTCCTCGAGCGATGACAGGAGAGTCTGGAACCATTCGAAGGAGCCGGTGTCCTTGCAGACCCAGATGAACTCGACACGGCGAAGACGGGTTGGCGGGTTCGGGCTGTTGCGCAAATGCCAGATGTTCTTGAGAATTGAGGCCCAGGGAGTGACGCCAATACCAGTACCGATGAGCACAGCAATTTCGTTCTCGAAAACGTCCTCAGCGGGAGCACCATAGGGGCCATCGATGCGGAGGTCAGGCATCTGCTGGCCGTTCTGAAGAGCAACCTCGTACATTCCCATGGGATCAACGCCATCGTAGAGCTTTGCCTGCGCGGAACCGGCGCCAACAGCGTCACCAAGAGCCCGAGTGAAGTCACCGACCTGGCGAACGTGAACCGAGATATAAGGATCGAAGGGGCACGAGGTAATGGTGAAGGGGTGCCACTGGTAGTTGGAGAGAGAAGGCACTTGGAGGAAGAGCCACTGGCCAGCCTTGTACTTGAACGAGGGCTTATTGAACTGCAGCTCGACGACGTCTGGAGACTAGTCAGCATCATGATCAAAAGAGGTGGCACAGCAGAAACTTACCGTATGGGTGGCGAACAACACGAGTGATCTTGGTACGGCGGCGAGCGCGGACCTCGCGGTAGGTACGCTCCATGAGGTAGAAAGCTCCAGTCCAAAGCTCCCATCTCCAGCCGAGGTAGCCGATGCAGTGGTCCCAGTAATCCTTTCCGGCGAATGGAGAGTACGGCAAGGCGGTGTCACGCACGAAGCAGCCAGTGGTGTGGGTGTACAGTCCCAAGAAAAAGGGAATGAAGAGGTGGTGAGTGTACCAGAACGTCTCGAATGATTGCTGGCGAATGCGGGCGTGCGCAGTGGTGTACATCAGGAGCATGCACAGCAGCATGACATGGCCGGTGACACCACCTGCCTGGGTGTAGTGAATCTGGATAGCCGTGACGGGACGAATTTGTGTTCTCTCAACGTTGAAGAAGCTGCACATGTTAGCGAGTGGTCTCCTTGCAGCATACGCTGGCACCTACTTGATGTAATGAGAAGAGGTGTGCAAGATGGTAAATCCAAGCATGGAGTACGCTAGCTGTCTGTGCAACCAAAGGTTCTCGTCGAGAGGGAGGAAGCGAAGCTTAGGTCGGATCCATCGCATGACCGTTCGGCAGACCGGAAGCAGGATAAGCATTCCATCGACACTAAGAACCAAACCAGCACCTCTTGAAATCCAGACCGAGTACTGCAAAGTGTTCAGACCAGCCAGCCTCGCGTCCATTGCCTGCTTCCACCTAGGAAAGAGTTAGAATCGACTTGTACACGGATGCGATGTGCGAATGGAGGCTTACCATCCATAGGCGAAAATGCCAAAGTGAAAGGTCCAGAAGAGGAAGTGAAAGGCCAACTTCTGAGCAGTAAACTGCTTCTTGACCAGAACCCCGAAGGTCAGGTCGCCCGCCATCTTGATTCGATTTCGATTGCCCTCCTATTCGTAGCTGTATTAGGGTGTCGACCTGCGACAATACCGACGATTTGGCGGTTGGGCCTTGGAGGGTATCGGTAGCGGCTCGTGTGGGCGTCGGATGATGGTGAAGCAAATAATCCCAGCAAATCCAATAACCACGTTTTTGTCGATGCCAAACTCTGATGTTTCCAATCTCTTTACTTCTCAGTCCCCGTATTAAAAACGTCTCTTATAATACCTAAAGTGGTGTGGTCGACGAGCAAAAGAAGCGAAAATAAAAGACTCCAGCCAAGCGAAGTTGGAAAGTTTTAAAAGAATGATCTGAGCCAGCAGCGAAGGAAAGGAAGGAGTCTCGTTGGTCGCAAGCGCTCGGGGATTGACTCTTGACTCTTCGACCTAGGCGAGAAACAACGAAGAAGAAGAAGAAGAAGAAGAAGATAGAGATGAGGGTGAAGGAGAAGAGGTGGAGGAAGACGAGACGAAGCTTTCGGCGGGTGGGGGGAAAGTCATAAAGAGATGAGGCGAGTCGGGACGGCAGTCGAAGTTCGAGCAATGGCGTCTGTGGACTTGGCACGCGTGAGGTTCGAATGACCAGGGTTGCACAGGGCGGGAATCGGTTCTTTGGCAAAAAATAAAAAATAAAAAAATTTGCCCGGGATGAACGGGGGAGCCTGGTGCTGTCGGATGGATAGACTTGGATCCGGCAACGAAAAGTGATGGAGGGGGGGCTTGACGATGGTGCGGTTTGGTGCAGGATAGGATGGAGGGGTGGGTGATGATGTCGGGACTAATCTTTCGGATGTCAGGTGTCCATGAAACCTCGTCAATAGCCGTTGAACAGGGTGCCAGTGGTAGTGTTCGTCCGCACAGGATGTGAATTGTGAAAAAAAGGGCGATTTGGTGGCGGGGGGGGGGGGGGCGAACTGTCGACTGTCGAGGACGGGACAAGGGGTTTGACGATGGTGGACTGGACGATTCCGTAGATCAGACGTTGAAGGGGTTTCGCAGTTGGAGGGAGCTGTATCAGTCCGATCCGAGAGGCGAGACTGATCAGACGGCAGGGCCAGGTGCGACAGGTGGTGGGCGGAGTTGAGACGACTTCTGTTAGAGGCGCTTTGACGAGGGGGCCCCGAGGCTATTCTGACGTTTCGGTTGCAACAGGGGAGGGGCCGTTTTTCCCTTTCTCTCTCGAGGTGGACTTGTGTTGTCCCCTTTGACAATGCGGCTCGAATGGAAAGTGTGGATATTGCGCTATTACGCTACGCTACACAGTGAATGCGACGAACAAGGGTCGTTTTTCTGGTATTGGCGTCTGTTAAAGACTTCAGGTATGGCGGTTGCGCTTAGCTTTGTCTTGTTGGAAAGTTTGTTGGAACCAACGACATTGAGACCGAAAATGGCAATAGGTTACCAGACTGTTGGGAGGATGGAATGTGGACGGATCAATCATGGAGGGAATGGGAAAACAAAGGGAAGAAAGGAAAAACGACAACGAGGATGACGAGTCGAGGTCCTCATATCCGCATTCATCCCCATCCCGCATGGCCTGTCTGGTTCTCCGCCCATGGGCCATTCGGATAGCATGGCATGGCAAGGTAAGGTAGCTAGCTAGCTGTACGACTACGGAGTAGCATGCACGAATGATGATTGCGGTCGACAGGTCGTTGTCCAATTCCTCTCTCAGCGACGTTGTGTCGGCACGTCGGGCACCACAGAAAGTCAGATTGACGGTGCAAATTGGCCACCACCTGCCTCCTTCTTGCCGCCCGCCTAGAAGAACGGATCTGAAAGTGGACAGATGGGAAGGTGACGGGAGACGCAACGGCGACCGGTGGTTGGCTGAATTTAATTTTGGAACACGGACGCCAGACCCGTTTCGGCCGGGCCCATGCTGCTGGGCGCTTAACGGTGGTGAGGGAAGTCGCCGACGACCAGGTGAGGCGAGCCACCACACCTCACGACTCACGGGAAAGATGCGGTGGCTGGATTTTGGTGACACAGGATTCGCTGGGTTGCACAACGATGGGGGGGGGGGCATTGAGGACCATTCTTGAACACCGTCACAAGGGCAATCCGCAAAAAAACAACACAAAAAAAACAACACAAAAAGACACTATTAAAAACTCCAATGTGATGGCATCGTGCTACCGAGATGCGCTACAGCTGCATGCTGCTGCACTACCGAGTCAATTATAGAGCAATCCGGCCACTAACGGTGAGCTCTTTTCCATCTTGGGGTGTCTGCCCAGGTGCCCAGCATGTGGCTAGCAGGGAATGGTAGATATTGCTTCCCCATCTCGCAAGGTAGATGATAGGGAATGATGCTTTAAAAAAAGTTCGACCATGATGTGAGGCCAAGCCAAATCATCCTCATTTATCCTTTTGCTGCGAATTGCAGCACTGCAATGCAACAACGGGAAGTCATTGGTCACGTAGATAATTAGAGCTCCCCTCACGAGAAAGCATCGCCCCCAAGGCTCCCCTGGAATCGGGGACCTCAGCTTCACCGTCTCTTGCCAGATTAAAGGTTCCTTCCGTACGGTATCAACTGACACACACACACACACACACACACTCTCTCTCTCTCTCTCTCTCTCTCTCTCTCTCTCTCTCGCCTAGCTCTGTTTTTCAATTCAAAGATGATCCGGGGAACCCTTTCCGTTGTCCAACCTACAATGTACTTTGGTCCTTCCCCCGGTTAACCTCTTGCCTAATACCCTAGGGATACCTACGAGGTAGGAGCGGTCACCGCACCGGAAAAGAAGGCACAGAAAATAAAGAACGGAAGGACAGGTGGGAGGGTGCCAGGGCCCAGGGGTCACCCCCACATTCCCACTAGTCTCTTTAGGGCTTGGCGGCAGGGGACATCAGTTACACATGCGTTGAGGGTGCGGCAGGTCCCCACTTATCCAGCAAGCCCACCTTCAACATCGCTCCTGCGTTTTCGTGCGCCTGTTGACCGAAGCAGCAGGGACAGGCCCCCTTCTCTTTCCTCCTTTGGTCGTCTTGGCCCGTGCATCACCCGCAAATCTCCAAACTTGTCATCCCAGCACATCGGCCCTTCATCCACACTTTATCCCCATCATGAAACCTTCAGCATGCTCGCTCTCTGCCAGCCCGCACTCCCAACCTACGCAGTAAGGTAACCCTCACATATTGCACCAAAGGACGCCATGCTGCTAGCTTGATACGCAAGCCCGCCCAAACTCAATACCTGTCACCCTATCTCCCTATCTTGATTCCATCCATGATTCAACCCACCTGTCGCCCGAGCAAGGTTCGCACCCAGGCAGGGTCACAGTTCACTATCCTGCCAGTCTGCCATCCCCCCCCCCCGTCTCACCCTTCCCCTTGTCCATCCCTGAATCCTTCAGATGGATCATGGCTGCTTGATGGCTGTCGATTGCTCCCGCGGGAAGTCTAAGCCATGTGCAGTGCTTTACACTAGTCCAATGGCACCCCGTTCTTGGCCCAGCGTCTCTCTGCTTGCCTGTCCTCCCCTCCACGCAGCGTGTCAGACGCTCACACCTCCCAGCAAAGAAGCATTCCATGAGCCCATCCATGCGGTCTTCCACGTCAAAATCGTACGATTATGTTTACAGATCACCTGTCTTTGATTCATCCTACTCAAAATCCCTATTCGACCATATTTCGCTCCCCAGTTCAAGCTTAAAGAGTTCAAGCATCTCGCATTTATCTTCCCGCCATCAGCCCATCTAAATCTTGGCTCAACGTCCTCCTTCCAGCGAGGCTGAGGGCTCTGGTCCTGCCTCGTTCTCGTTCTCTCTGGGCCACCCACACAGTTCGACCCTCCCGACCCCTGGCCCAACATTTGCCTTCCGGCACTCTCGGGACTCGGCACAATCTCCAACTTACCTCCTCTCCTCACTCAATGCTGACGGACTCGGCATCTACTTTTCACGCTGGGATTGACTCGCCCCCAGTTCGACTCGTTCCGCCTCGAGTATCATCGGCGGTCTGAACCTTCCAAGCCCGTCAGCGCTGTCTGGTATCGACGGGGCTTATTGCGTGACGGAAGTGACGTGGGCTATCCAGCCAGCCTCGCCCGAACATCCCTCGCTTGACCTCGCGGTAGCGTCGCCAAGGATATTCGAATTGTTTTGCTCCTCCTCTTTGCTGCAGTGGCTGTCGCTCGGAGTTTGACACTACAAGACCAGGTCCTGGTGAAACGAGCAAAGCTGGACATTGGCACGGGTCTCCGCTCTCAAAACGGCTTTCATGCCCGCATGAAGCACCAACCCTACCCACCTGCATGATCGTCACTGACACAGACATTCCAATGACGCCCAAGTCAGCCTCCTCAAGGATCTCGAGTCAATCTCCACATTTAACGCCAAGCTTTACGCCAAGTGGCTTGTTTAAGCTTCCTTCACTGAGCAGGGGTCAACAGACATCAATAGAGGTCGAGCGTCTCTGTGTGATGCTCGCAACAGCCGGTAACGGGTATCGCACCTAGCAAACACTGCTCTAAACTCAGTTTACGATCTAAACTTCCAGCCTTGAGGCAGTTTGGGATCGACAAGAGGGGGGCTTGCGAGGGGCTTTCAGGAGCCTTGGTGGCGCTCGTCGTCGCCGATCCCCTCACTTCATCGTCTTCTTTCTATCATCTGAATCACCAACTCGTGTCGCACTACTAAGCTTGACAGCTAGGTCATCGAGTGGGCCGTGTCAGAAGGAGCTATCCCCAGCTAACGAGGCATCAAGCACAGGTTTGGCAGAAAAACACGTATGGCTTACCCCGTCACAAGGGGTTCAGATGTATCCGAGAATATGTCAAGCCTAACCTGAGCTATGGGACCGAAGCAAGATATCTCCCATCCATCAGATGTGACACTTGCAGCTCGGGTCGCAACGAGGACCCTACGATGCTCCGCTCTGACCCAGAGAGGCTGTCTTGGAACCTAGATTCATCTGTTGCAGCAGTCATCTTGGTCTGATCTCAAGTTCTCCTATGCCCCGCGTCTGTCTGGATTGTCTTCGGGCTACGTCCTCCCGCCAGAGCGCTGTTCCTGGATGAGGATGGATGAAACTGGTGGCCACGCAGATCCAGGCTTTCGTCCGCATGCAGATGCGCATGAAGCGGATGAATGTCGCAGGGCCCTATCGTGTTACTCGTGATGCCGATGTGTACGGACTGGAATCACTCTTCATTCGCGTGCCCCCTAGGTAATCCTCCCTTTCGAACCAATATCTCTGCGGCTCTGCCTCGGATGCGAGCTTCAGACCTAGCCCATGCTACATCTGCGCCTCATTGAGAAACTGCGCTGCTGGTCGAACTTTCCTGCAAGTCCTGGGGCATCGAGACGTATGAATTTTACATGATGCTAACACGCAGGTTGCCCACGTGAGCTTTTTAATGAGCAGCACACCGCGCGCCAACTTAGGCTCTTCAGAGGGACTCCATCGTAAGCTAAACCCTTGCTTGCGATGAGAGGAATTAGAGTGGAATGCAATGTCTCAGTCAGCTTACGACTATGCGTCTTGCGGCGCTGTCTTGAGTGTCTCGTTCTCCCAAGTAATCTCAGCAAAGGATGGAGCTTTTCATCAAAATCCCCTAATCTCTTTGCCGTCAAAGATATGTGATGATGTATACGCTTCCTGCCTAGTCATTGAGCAATCTGTTATGACTAATACAAAAAGAGACTGCTGACGGAGCAAAGAGATCAAGCCTGCATCCCCTTATAGGTGATCCATCTTCACAAGTCTATCAAAGGCCTGGTCACTCTCGTCATCCAAATCACCGTGATCACCTGGTATCTGCAAGCGCACTCGTCTTGCCTCCTGCCGCTGATACTCCGCTTCCTCTGCCCGCGTAGGATCAAGCGAGAGAGCTTTAGAGTAGGCGTGGATGCATCAGCAGAGAATACCGATAGGTACTTTCACAAGTTTACCTATAGTCGCAGCTCTCTCTGTCTCATTTCTTCACAACTTGGTTAACATATGACAAAGGGATTATGAAGGACTTTTGCTCACATGGCATCTTGAACACGACCCTGCTTCGTGGCTACATCTCCAGCGCGATATGCGCAGTATGAGCTCAGCCAGCTAAAACGAGCAGCGATTCCAGACGTTTCCAGAATGTGTTTGGTTTTGTTGACGTGGGAGTTCGCATCATCAAGCCTGTTCATCTTTGTCCGAAGCGAGGCGAAAGTAAGATGGGCGCTGGCAGATGTCAGCACGGCCGATTTACAAGGTGCACTCGGGTGAAGATTGCTTACTATGCGAGCTGATACCATCCACCTAATTCCTCTGCCGCTTCGAGTGCTTTGGACAAGAGATCCTCTGCCTCTTCGAATCTACCCATGCAGTAGTAGTTCCTGGAAGTGTTGAAACTCCAGACCATCGAGCGAGTTGGGATCTTGCCGGCCGGGCCATCAAGAACCTTTCTACTCTTCAACAACAGGGCGAGACCCATTTCATAGCGCTCTTGAGCGCCGACGGCCATGCCGAGCCAGCTGTATGAGAGAGCTAATAGCAGGTCATAGGGCTCGAGCATCTCAAGCCGAATCTCGAGACCTTGGGTCATTTCCCTCTCAGACCTAGAGAACTCCGAGGTACAAAAGTGATACATGCACTTCAACGACTGCAAATGTGCCCATGTCAGTCTGTCTTGCTCCTCTCTGGGGCAATTGTTGTAAGCAAGGTCGGCAGTCTCGAGTAAGCCGACGACCGAGTTTGTAGTATCGTTGTCATGTATGCCACTGTGCAAAAGTATGTCAGTTAAGAGTCAGGGCTGAAGGATAAGCCACGTCTTCATACTTTGCTGCATTCACAAGGTTGACGAAGTCCATGCTGGCCTTCAAGGGATTCGGTTTAGTCTGCGAATCGGCGTAGTTCTTGGAAAGAGCGAGGACCTGTGGGATGTATTTCTCATACAGGATCCATTCGTCATCGTCATATTTGTTCTCGCATTCACCAGGGAACTTTCGCAACAGTAGCTTGGTCGCAGCGTCAAACTGCTCTTGGCGATCATCCATTCTTGCTCGGTACTCTGATTGCACCAAACAGTGGATGCGGAATGTGTCCTTCTCAATGTTCTTTCTCACCAAAGCGTGGTGAGTCAGCTCCTCTAGAGCTTCCCCAAGGCTTCGAATCATTAGCCACTTGAAGTCGCATCGGTCTCCATTACTCACCTAAACTCATCTGTACAGAAAGCAAGTGATTCAGGCAAATCTGAGGGATCTGCCACCATGAACATCTCTGACGGCACCGAGTCTGCGGAGAGAAGGCTCAACACCCCGAGGCAGGCTCGTGCATCTTTCCCGAGATTTTCAAAGGACATCTCGAATACCGTGTCGAGGGAATGCTTGTATCCCAATCATTTCCATCCGCTCTTCTTCTGCTTGTGCAGACGCTGCTCATGCTTGATGTACATGGCCTGAAAATCCTCAATAGAGCAACTTCTAGAATTGATAAGAGCCGCCATTTGGTTCAAAGCCAGCGGTAAACCGCCGAGTAGAGTCGAAACTTGTTGAGCAGCCTCGTTCTCACCGGGGATTCTTTTTCTGCTAGAGGCCATCTGGAGCAAAACTCCGCTCCGTCATCTGTCCCGAACTCCTCAACCTCTAACCCTTCGTCGATAGGTAGAGTAGCAACTAGAACATCCCTGGTAGTAACAAGGATCGCCCCATGCTTAGATGCAGGCCAACAATCATCGAGTGCGTCGTGTGTGTCAACATTGTCGAATATGAGAAGCTATTTGGCACCTGTGCGATCACTTTAGTATCATCGCATTGTCATTGGGTTAATGGCCCCACTTGTCGTATGCATCCAGGTCAGTACTAATATCATGTTCTCTTGGTAAGCCTGCGGTTGTGCATTGGGAAGCTTGAGAGCATCAACAGCAACCCGGTTGAAGCCCTGTTGGATCGAGAATGAGTCTTGCGCAGGTATCCAGAAGACAGCATCGAGGTCATGAAGCTTATGGTATGCATAGGCAAGCGCGATTTTCGTTTTACCAATACCGCCTAGGCCATGCAAAGCAATGGATGACAGGGGCTTTTGCGTGTTCGCCGGCTGTAGGTGGTCGTCCAATTTCTGCAAGATCTCATCTCGGCCAAAGAACTGTCTGTTCTCTGCCACAGGTAGATTGTTGCATGGGAGAGCTGCCCTATCTTGCTTGGCTTCTTTCGGATTCATTATACGATCCGATATCTGCATCAGGCGCGTCGCACGCGCTTGCTTCTCTGCCATTTCCGCCACTTGTGCAATTCGTTGGATCGCTTCATCAATGTTCCCATAGGCGTCATTGAAGGTGTTTGTCAGAGATTCCCACGCGGTTTCGTCGAGAGAGACTGTCTTCACTTAGTAAGCCGATGTTAGGACACATTACTTTTTACTTACACTCGCGGCCCAGCCCTTTGTTCCGAAACGTCATGATGATGTTGAGCCAAAGAAGGACAACTTCTTTGTTGACCGCAACAGTATCTTTCTTGATCTTTGATAAGTCGGTGATACAATCCTTGCAGTCGTTCGAAACCTCTAGCTTGTGTCCGATTCTTTCCAGCCATTTAGTGATTCGTTTTAAGGGGTTGAACGTTGATGGGCTGGCCAGCGAGCTCCCACTCAGGGCCAGCTACATAGCGGTTAGCAGTTAGCACTCGATTCTCGGCATCTTAATATTTAGCAGTTCTTCTTCGCTCACTTTGAACACCAGAAAGAGCAACCCCCACATCATCGATGTGTCGACAGGGTGCGCCATCATGCTCACGAAATTCTTTGCGAAAGTTTCATAGTGATCGAGAACAGGATGAATCAATCTGATTGCGTTGTTCGATTCGTCGTCTTGATACTCAGCCGTGAGTTTTTCCAACTCATCCCGGAAGTCTTGGATTGACTTCACCCCCAATGCCCGCCCGTGGTCATGGCGTTCGAGAGTTACCTCGCATTCTTTCAAGGCGTCGAGCCATGACTGAAAGTATATCTCGTCGCTGATACACCATTCAATAACTGCGGACAGAGAAAGCTCATTTCGGTGACTGCTTACTATGTGGCCATATCTGAATGATTCCCGGCGATTGGGTTTATCAGTCGCATGTTGAAATGTGGGAGCAGAAAGTCCCTGTTCCGCGGACGGGGCAGAGACGAGCTCCCTTACGTAGGTTGATCAGGCAATAAGTACGTACTTTGAAATGAGGTTGTCAAAAGTGCTACTATGAATAATCCCCTTGCTGCCCAAGAAACACATGTCAATGTGGTGGGTTGAACAAGCTGGATACGCCGGAGCAGTGACTACTTAAGGCTTGCCGGTGAGGCAGGCTGAAGGCTTCCACGTCATTGATCACCCGCATGTGAGTTGCCCGCACGCATGGAGTTGAAGCACTGCAGCCATTACATTTTACCGACAGAGCCAATCATAATTGAGAACCCCCGTGCAGCTGTATAGAAGACCTGGAATCGACATCACGAAAACTCTGTCTCACAAAGCCACCAGGAATAAGTGGCAGAAAGCAATTCATCGTCATGTCTGACTTGGAGAGACAGTCTGTCAACGTGGTGTAGATGCCTAAGTAGGCGATTATTTCAGGCGATTTTTGTGCATCATGTCCCGAAAGGATATCCGATTGTGCGTGGCAAGCCTTTGCTGTTTTGGCCACACCGTCGTCACATCCACCTTCAATCGAAGGATAAGTAGCCACGGACACGGTCGTACCAAGGAACACGAACAAGGGTATCTCTACACTCATTTCATGTGCAATCTACTTGCTGTGAGCCTTCAAAAATGCGACTTCGTGGGAATATTGATCGTCATGATTCCGAAGTCCAACGAGCAAGACGCGAAGCGGTGCTGAGCGCCTGTTGTGGACCAAACAATGAACCTCGATACGTCTTTGACGAAGGTTTGAAACAATTCACCAGTCTCACGGAAGCTCGCATGTCCGATTATGAAGATATGACGAAAGATTTGATTAATGTTTTGGGTAGAGCCCGACCTGAGTGCTCCTATCTCGAGAAGCAGGTTGAGGTGTGCACGAAAATCGTCGGCTTCATCAATGTTTCTGCGAACCACCAAACAACAGTAGATGATATCTCAGACTGGCTTATGAGAGAATACGACGTACCAGTGTCCGATAGAAGGGATTACAAGAACGTTCTACGACATTTAGTCTTTGCTGTCTTGGGCTGGTCAACCATGCTATACACCCCGAGTTTCACGGAACCGGCTGCCGACTTCTCCACGGCTACTGGAAGGCACCCAAATGACAATACGACCAAGCAGAGTTTGGCGCAGTCATCTCAACGGCCTCTCGGTGCTGTTCTTCGCATCCACGGACTGATGCCGATAGCGTGCCCGCCGGGCTTCGGACAATCTCCTGGTATTCCAACACTTCTTACAGTAACCCACCTCAACTTTTGGTCTTTGTCTCGGCTTGGCGATGTCACGATTTCCTGGGTTGATGATCTTTCTAAACACTGCACCTTCGATCGGTATAGCCCCAACAAAGAACTATGCATATTTCGGCTTCCTTCCCTCTGTGCGAAGGTCTGTCTCAACAACACCGACGAAGCTCTGATCGGCCGGTAGGACACCAACGACCACCTTTGTACAACCAATCCTTGGTAACTGACCATGATTGTAGATTATTCAAATGTCATAGCTGTTCACACAACTGTCGCATAGGTCCTGCAACGATTTCGAAAGCTTACTTGGTGGAGGTTCTTCTTAGCTACCGTTTACTGTTTGGACAACACGCCGGCTCTCGTAGGCTCTTTCGCGAGAAAGAGCGGGGAGTTATCAAGAAAAGTACCTATGCCCATATAGATCCCTTGCTAGAAGCACTCTGTGGTGAGAAAGACCTTAAAGAGTTTGGAGGGCTCAAAGGGTTGCTTCGTGAGCGTGGGGTTTACAATGCAGAGACCAGCTTTCCGCATTTAGGGGCTCAACTGATGGAGCTAGAAGACTACAGCAATATTCAGCGACCGAGAAAATATCTATGTGTGGGAACAAACGGCAATCGCTAGGTATACACGGAGCCGAGCTATGTCACGTGTCTTCGGCACGTGACACACCTCAGCTCCCTCCTTCCATATCACGAGCCTTCGCGTTTAGATACTCTCCTTAACATCAATAACAACAACAAGAACACCAGATTAACCCAACGATATTGCTACCGATCGCGATACCAGGAATACCTGTGTGACTAACCTGTGGTACACGCAAACCAACACTATGAAGTTTGGAGTGACGCGAGAGATCCTGAGAGGCTATTGACTTTCCAGGCACTCATAGTCATAGGGGCAGTGAGCATTTTCTTGAGCATTCTGCAGGTCGTCATAGGGATTCTCCAGGTGGTGCTCTGATGATTAAGGGAATAAGAGTCATGGTAGATATGTGATTTTAGAATCCTAGCATTTGGCGGCTCAGTACCCGACATTCCAATTACTCAGACACCTGTGCGCGCAACTCGTAGTATCTAATATTTACATAGCTAATCTCTCTTAGATGCGTGATGCAATATCATACCAACGGTTACAAGGACTGAAGGAAGTCGATGAGTTGATGCAAATCTCCTCCGTGGGCATCTGGTCGACATGTCATCACGATTCACCTCCCGTGAACGCTAAGGGCCTGAAGAACGGGGGTGGTTAGGATAGAATTACAACCAGCTGAGTAATTCACTCACGACCACGATCAGCATAACTGCAGTCCTTAACCCGTGCTGGCGAGATAGATCTTTCCTCCGCGACACAAGCGCTTGGGAGTGGAAACTCTAGTTGAATCAGTGTCTGGATCAGATTCATCGTCTGGAAAAGCAATGTCTCTCTGGGCACGCCAGGTTTGTGCCTTGTATGTGATAGACGGATATCCGGCGCGCTCCGTTACGGTACGCATATCGAAATTATGGTCAAGGTGAAGCAAGTTCTGAATTTCAGGGTCCTTGAGCTGGGGAGGCGTCGCGGTCGCCTTCACCGGTAAGGAGGGCTCACCAGTGATGAACAAATACACCCTAGTGGAAATTGAGGCAGAGAAAGTAATATCCTAACTCGAGAGAAAGCTGGAAGGACAGCGGAGGAAGTTGTGAAACCTAAAATTTGTGGCATATATAAAGCGCATCAGAGGCGTCTGCTAGAGGTCCCTATTTATGTGCATAAGGTCATTGATCACACACTCTGCGCCAATATTGCTTGGAAACCGGAAAATAACAATTTGGGCCGAGGAAGAGAGCGAGAGAGGCAAAGAGGGGAAACATCCGCGAGGCTCTGGAAAGTGAAGTTACTCGGGGTACCTGATGCATGTGCTCTCCATCATTGCCGTTATCTCTTCTCATCCACGTGTTGGTGGGTGGTGTCAAGTTGGGGTGCTGACGCAGGGTGGAAGCTCTCAGAGGCCAACTGTAGTTAGGGGTAGAATGATGAATTACTGAAATCTGCTCCTCCCTCGACGTGTACTCCCTGCGCTGTATATATATCTGAGCTGCTCCTTTGTTGCTTGGACTCTTTACTACCTCTAACTAGCCCTTATCCGGGAGGGCTCTGACAGGTGGCCTCTGCAGCCTGCTTCGGGTTCGCCCGGAAACACTGATCATCCGATTAACCAAGCGTGCCAAGCTGCCACCGCTGTTTATTCATTTTTGTTCCCGAGAGGCGACCTCAAGCAGCATAAAATGGAAGCAGGCTGTAGGCATCAATCTTGCACTAAGTCAAATGGGGTGATGGATCTGTTAAAGCGTGGGGCATGGTCGTTTGACAAGAAAGCGGGGTATGAGGTGGTACTGTTGGTATCCCTATCACAGGGAAGTTGGTTCGAACCGTAGGGTCCTGGGGGTGACGAAGTATCAATATCTCTGTATTGATTGATTCTGCGTAATGTGTAAAAGGGAGATTCCAACCGTAGGTTGGTTGGGTAGTCGCGGTCTAATTGTACCACCTCGAGGTGGCCCATGCTCTGCCCCTATCCGCGGTCGAATTGGACTTCCAATCCGACAGGTACCTAGCTATCAGAATTGGCATTTCGGTGAAGTTTTGTGTCACAGGGATGCGTTTTTGCACATTTTAAAGGTTGTGCAACCAACTATCGGTTAAAGGTTTCGGAAAGGTGAGCAGAGGAATCGTAAGAACCCCTCCTAAATGCCTGATATGACGTACGGCTTTTGAGAATATCAGCGAATCTGGATCGACTTGGAAAGAATTTGAATACGTCTGCTGTTGTGTATCCTGGACTTTGCCGTCTTTCTACAGGATGTGATCATATGATGGAAGTCGTGCAACTCCAACATGGGTAGGATCTACATGGAAGGCTGTCAGTGAGGTATCTACAGCCAAACACGTCTTGCGAATAGTGACAATGCAACCAAGTCGGGTGCATGAAATCACGCAAGATACTCTGGTGCAACGTTGTGCTGGCGTGCCGCGTCATATTCCCAGCATTTCGGCTGTATTGCTTGATTTGATCGTGCTGAATGTTGGAAAGGCGCCTTTCTTCGGCTTATTGGCCGGCATGAGGCTCAAATGAGCATTGCTACGGGAAGGAACAGTAATATCTGGGATGGAAGTGTGGAAGCCTGTCCCTTGCTGAACATTGCTAGCCTGAGAGGAGCCAGGCACCAAAAACTACTTTTGTCCTCCCCCAACTTCAACAGTTCCATTGAAGGGTAATATCCAGTCGCAAAGACTTGACCTGGTCAGATGGCTTTACACGGTATCGAAATCCAAACGCGAGCAGATTTTCCGGCCGATCTGCCCATCTACGAGGATGAGAAGCCTTACTATCTCCACGCTTCAGATGCCGCTGGCGACCGTCTAGACCAGATCAAGATAACCAACGTCGAATGGGACACAAGACCGGTGACTGTTCGGAGCATGCGCGGTAACACGAACATCGGATTGGACAAGACTGGTTTCACGTACTGGAAGCACGAATCCCAATACCTTCCACACAAGGGCATGAGTGAGGAGAAGGTACAAAACTATCGTACAGAGGGCGAGGAACTTCTCCGATCTGTCTTGAACGCGGATTTCGTTCGTTGTTATGACTTCAAAGTGAGCGATCCGCACTATTCGACCTGTGAGAGAGTAGCCAATAACCACTTGAAGATGTGAAAAAACGCTCCTATGACACTGGAAAAGTTTGATCCACACGATCCGCTGCTAGTAGAACATGCTGCTGTCGGGGCTCATGGTAAGTAAAAAGGATGCCAATGCGTTGAACGTTTAAAAAGAAAATGCTAATAAACACTAGTTGGTAAATCATGTCTCTCAAAGTATTCATAACCACCCGCTCACTAGTTCAGACATCACCCTGGATACTGTTCCTCGTCTAGTGAAGCCTTTACTGGATGAGGAGCAGCTTCTTACTTTCTTCAAACCTGGGTACAGGTTTAGGCTTGTAAAGTAATAATCTCGAAGGACCGCTCCCCAAGCTGAAGTAAGCTAACAGATAATTTTAGCATATGGCGTTCATTATTGCCCGAGTGCGAAGACAGGCCGCTTGCCCTATGCGACTATAACTCTGTCGAACCTCAGGATCTAGTTGCTACAGACAGAGTTTACCCGGGAAGACATCAAGAGTGTCGGATTGGAAGTCCAATTCGGCCGCGAGTAGGGGCAGAGCATGGGCCACCTCGAGGGTACACTTAGACCTCGACTACCCCACCCAACCTCCGGTTGGAATCTCCCTTCTACTCCTTACGCAGAATCAATCAATACAGAGATATTGATACTTCGTCACCCCCAGGACCCTACGGTTCGAACCAAATTCCCTGTGAAAGGAATACCAACAAAGAGATATACCATTTGAAGTATAACAAGCAACAGCGATGGTACTGGCTGCCATACCAGCAGCGTGACGAACCTCTCCTGTTTCTGACGTACGACAGCAAGTCAGGTACGAATGCAAGATGTATGTCCAGCTAATAGGTTTCGGATCCTGGCCGACACATCACTGATCTTAGCCGCAGATTGTCCACATGTGTCTGTTCACAATCCTCTCGCACCTCCCAATGCCCCTCCCCGCGAGAGTGTTGAGACGAGAAACTTGGTGATAACTAGGATAGACGACGGTGAATAGTGGTTAGATTTCTGATTGATAGGTGTATGTGAGTCAATAGAATTTTGGTCAACCCACGACCACTAGATCAGACCATAAGATGATATTCACACCGGTGCCTAATCGTTCTGAATGTACTTATATGCTCACCTGAGTCCGAGAAATTTGGACATGAATGTGTCTGGGTCATCCGGATCATTCCGAATTCGTTGCGACGCGATGTGGGAGCGGAGAAAATATATAGTGGCATATTATTTCAGTGCATCAATCTATCTTGCGAATAGGTACCTACCTAAACATCGTACGGACACCGGAAACCTGCTAACCCATTTGTACGTTGTGCTTGGATGTGAAGCGAAAAGGCCCGAGCAACCCCACTGGAGCTTTGACAGGTCAGCCCACTTAAGAGTCCAGGCGTTTCTATCCGGTCCACCCCCGGATCTGCACTAGTACAAGATAGGCTAGAGCGCAAGGCAATACCCGATAACGATAACGATAGGATCATCCTTCGACCCTCTTCTCCATGGATCCCGTCGGGGCTCCCCTCTATCTCCCCGAAACCCAGCCAGAAGTATAATCAACGAGACTACAGAGTACTCGAGAGTTTCCTTTCCAAAACCCCACGGCACAATGGTGTCGTCGGCGCCCCTGAAGAAGCTGGACGAGCTTCCAGACGAGATCCTGCTGCGTGTTCTTTCCTGTGAGTAAGCCTTTCTTTTTCTGCCAAGAGGCGTACTCCGAAATTCCCAGCTGACAGAGCCCGGTGCCCCTCAGTCCTAGAGCCTTACGACTTCCCCGGCCTGCAGCTCGTATGCCGAAAGCTCCAGAAGATATCCCTCGACAACAATCACTGGCGATCGAGGACCTTTGACGGGTCGCCATTTTCAGAGGCTTTACAAAGACGGCGGCGCATCACTTCCTTTGGCGACGACGACATCATTGACTACCCTCTCTTCAGCACCGGTGCCGTACAACTGAGCCAGGAAGAAGATGGTGACACAGAACCGGACCCCCTCTTCTACGATGAGGAAACACAGGAGCAGCGCAAGCTGCAGCGGTACAAGGACATGGCGAATTGGGATCCTTCGTTTCCGACAGAGCCGGTCTTTTGGTACAACGAGTACATACAACGCTATGCGCCGATTGCGACAAGTTGGCTGCAGCAGCCCAAAATCCGAGACGGAACCGAGGAGGACACGCTGGATGTCCGAGGAATGGCTCTATACAGTCCAAGCCGAGAAACCGACGAATTGCTCGTGGTGTCGCCATTGGATGACGGCTCCATGTGCTTGTGGGACGTGAAGGGTACCAGGGGTCAAAAGGGCGCCACAGTCGCGAAGAGCTCGGCGGGTATTCTATATCTCGATGGACCCCAGACAATGGGAAGATCACGCAAGATCGATACCGGAGTGACAGAATGCATTAGCGTCGACAGCTTCTCCGACAAAGCCTTTGTCGCAGTACAGGGTCACTTGCTAGAGGTGGATCTCAACCGCCTCGAGGTCGTCGGCGAACAAACATTCGAATGGTCCATCACAGCCCTATCTTCCGCCGCTCCTGGCTTGCCCTTGACTGTAGGAACCTCTCTTGGAATCCATCTCTACGACTATAGGGCGCGAGTCAGGTCGCCGAGTGAGATCATCGACAGGATAGACGTGTTAGCGGTCGACTCGCCAAGTGGGTTCTTCCAACGCAGGCGAAGCAGCGTTTTCGACGATCCGCTACCACCGTATGCTCCTTTGTCACAACCCACGCCTTTGAGCATCTTGCACCTGCCGAATAGTTGCGACGAGTACTCCTTCTCGGACGATATCTATGTTGCAGGGCGCTTCTCCAACATCCTTCACTACGATAGACGCATATTCCCCTCAATCATGGGGTCCATTCACTCGGGAGCTCGATTGGCTAGTCTCGCGTCTCTGCCGTACCCATTCTCCACACTCGACAGTGAGACACGTCGTAGGAGCGACTTGTCCGTTGAACAAGTTATGGAGTCGAAGACAAGGGAAGGAGGCCGGACTCTAATCGCCGGTGGTGAGTACAACACCAAGGGTTCATTGGAGTTGTACGGCTTGTGCCCACGGCCAGGAGGTTCGTCTGCAGATCTCATGCAGAATTCCACCATGAAGAACCGGCAGACGTCGTCTCAATCCAAGATCCTCTCCGTCGCCAACCAGGGTACTCGCATCGTGTTCTCGGATGGCTCTGGTCTTTTGAAGTGGTTTGAGCGCGATGGCTTCACTGAAGTGAGACGGCATAAGATCGGACACAGCGAGGTGGATGAGCGTCCATCTCTTTTTGCCTCTATGCCTGGTTCCGATGATCTCGCGAGAAAGATCCTGTCGACGCAAACGCGTGGCGGACAAGACAATGTCAACGATGATGACATACTGTTCTGGACAGGCGAGAAGCTAGGTCTCGTTAGTTTCTCCGGCAAGCCTGGGTTTACTGCCAGCGACTTTGAGCAACCAGAGCCTAAATCGGAGGAAGAGGCAAAGTTAGAAGAGGCCGAGAAAGAGTATGGCGAGAGGATGAGGATGGCCCTGGAACGACAGGCGAACGACGTTCGCTTCGTGCAAGGCCTAGGATTGGGGTTAATGGGGTAATGGTAAGCAATGTAAGATGACACGGATGGCGAACGTTTCCATGACTGGCACTGGGGTTATGGGTTAATGAGGATCCATGATGAGATCCATTGTGATACGCCATTACGGCCTGACGATACAGATATGTAGAGTGGAATCAAGAGATTTTATCCAAGATGCTGTGCAACGCTCAACCCACCGAGACGCAAAGTAGACTTTACTGTGAGAAATGCGTGGGTGGACAGCGTGCAAAGCGACTAAGCCGACATCGGGGCGGATCGTCAAGATTTCCACGAGGCAGTAGAGAAGGTAGTCGAGTTGATGGCGGCTAGAAAACTCTAAGCGTGAAAAAAACACTTCAGCGCAACAAGCGCTGTCTGGGACGAACCATGTCCAGGCTTTAAATTGACCTTATGCATTGTAGACTCCAAGTCTTCAAGATGGCGGGCACACGGGAAGACTTATCTTCAGGCAGGTTATGAACGGCACACACAAACCGACCCCTCTTCCGCCAATGGGCTGGAGGGGTAAGGAAAGCTATGACCTCAGAGCCGTTATTCAGAACAGGGACACACACCCGGATAGTCTTTTTTTGGGCAGAAAGTTCCAAGATAATCTCCCGCTCTTCTGCGGGATGGACAGGGGGAATGCACTGGATGGCAGTGGAGGAGAATGAGGAGTGGAGATTCGCTTAAAGGGCGCTAAAGCACTGTTGGGCATTACGCGGAACCTGGCGCCACCGATTCTCCGGGCTGAGGCTGTGCAGGGTGGTTTTGCCGCTTGCGATTGGCTGATTATGCTCTTCCAAGCCCCCCCTCTAGAACGAACGGAGACTCGTCGTCAGGCACCACTGGAACAGAACAGTCGGCCAACGTTTGGATTTGGATCTCGGGCAAGAACCAGCCACACTGCACCTGCGTAATCCCTCCGTCCGCACCGCAACGTCACCTTTGGTGCGCGCTCTTTCCAGCCTCTCACTCAGCAACAAGCCGGACGCAAGGAAAAAAAACACAGAGAGAAGCAAACCCTCGCTCATTCATCACCAGCGCGCAATCACGAATTTGCCAAAGCTTGCTTGCGCAAACCATCAACAGATACCGGCATTCCCTCCATTGAGAACTGCCCAGCATGGTGAGACGCTTCATGCCCCGCGCGCGCGCACCGCTCCGATTCGGCTGCAGCGACTCCAAAATCCCCCAACCAACGACCGCGAGAAGGGAATAAGGACTGACCGTTTGCGCTTTCAATAATTGTAGGGTATCTCACGACGTCCCAAGGACAAATCCGCAAAGACTGGCCCCGCCGGACCGTCCGGAGGGGCGGGCGGCGGCAAGCCCAAGAAGGCCACATACGAGGTCACGAAGAAGAAGGAGATCGGCGTTTCGGATCTTACGTTGCTCAGTAAGGTGTCCAACGAAGCCATCAACGATAATCTCAAGAAGCGATTCGAGGGCCAGGAGATCTATACCTACATTGGCCATGTGTTGGTGTCAGTTAACCCCTTCCGGGACCTGGGTATCTACACCGACCAGGTCCTCGACAGCTACAAGGGCAAGAACCGTCTCGAGATGCCCCCTCACGTCTTCGCTATTGCCGAATCTGCGTACTACAACATGAAGGCGTACCAAGATAACCAGTGTGTCATCATCTCCGGAGAGTCAGGTGCTGGCAAGACGGAAGCCGCCAAGCGGATCATGCAGTACATCGCCAACGTTTCAGGAGGAGAGTCGGGCGATAGCAAGCAGATCAAGGACATGGTGCTGGCAACCAACCCCCTACTGGAGTCTTTCGGTAACGCAAAGACCTTGAGGAATAACAACTCTTCTCGTTTCGGCAAGTATCTGCAGATTCACTTCAATGCGCAGGGCGAACCCGTCGGTGCCGACATCACCAACTACCTTCTCGAGAAGTCGAGAGTCGTCGGCCAGATTACCAACGAGCGAAACTTCCACATTTTCTACCAGTTCACCAAGGGAGCTTCCCAGAACTACCGACAGCAGTTCGGCATCCAAACACCCGAGACGTACGTCTATACTAGTAGATCAAAGTGCCTCGAGGTCGACGGAATCGACGATTTGGCGGAGTACAACGATACGCTCGAGGCTATGAGAATTATTGGTCTCAGCCAGGGCGAGCAAGATGAGATCTTCCGCATGCTGTCTGCTATCCTGTGGGCTGGCAACATTCAGTTCCACGAAGGCCAGGACGGATACGCCGCTGTTAGCGACCAGTCGGTGGTGGACTTCCTGGCATACCTGTTGGAGGTGACGCCCGAGCAGCTCATCAAGGCTATTACCATCCGCATTCTTACCCCGCGAAACGGCGAGGTCATCGAGTCACCGACGAACCCGGCTCAGGCTGCCGCCACACGAGACGCACTTTCCAAGGCCATCTACAGCAACTTGTTTGACTGGATCGTCGAGCGTGTCAACAGGTCTCTTAAAGCGAAGCAGGCCACGACCACCAACATCGGTATTCTTGATATTTACGGCTTCGAGATTTTCGAGAAGAACAGTTTCGAGCAGCTTTGCATCAACTACGTCAACGAGAAGCTGCAACAGATCTTCATCCAGTTGACGCTGAAGGCCGAGCAGGACGAGTATGCACGCGAACAGATTCAGTGGACACCTATTAAGTACTTCGACAACAAGATCGTGTGTGACCTCATCGAGGGTATCCGCCCTCCTGGTGTCTTCTCAGCCATGAAGGATGCTACCAAGACAGCCCACGCCGACCCTGCTGCGTCTGACCGAACCTTTATGCAGAGCATCAACGGCATGTCAAACCCTCATTTGACCCCTCGTCAAGGTAGCTTCATCATCAAGCACTATGCCGGTGATGTGGCTTACACAGTGGACGGCATTACGGACAAGAACAAGGATCTGCTCCTGAAGGGATTGCTCAACCTCTTCTCTGGCAGCAGCAACCGGTTTGTGCACACCATCTTCCCCAACCAAGTCGACCAGGACAATCGCAAGCAGCCTCCTTCCGCCGGTGACCGTATTAGGGCCTCCGCGAACGCGCTGGTTGAGACTCTCATGAAGTGCCAGCCTTCTTACATCCGTACCATCAAGCCCAACGAGAACAAGTCGCCCACCGAATACAACGTTCCCAACGTCCTTCATCAAGTCAAGTACCTTGGTCTTCAGGAGAACGTTCGCATTCGTCGCGCTGGATTTGCCTATCGTCAGACGTTTGAGAAGTTTGTGGATCGTTTCTTCCTGCTTTCTCCTGCGACTTCATACGCTGGCGAGTACACCTGGCAGGGATCGTACCAGGATGCCGCCAAGCAGATTCTCAAGGACACTAGTATTCCCAAGGAAGAATGGCAAATGGGAACGACAAAGGCCTTTATCAAGTCACCCGAGACCCTCTTTGCGCTCGAGCACATGCGAGACCGGTACTGGCACAACATGGCCACTCGTATTCAGCGCATGTGGCGCGCATACCTGGCCTACAGAGCCGAGTCTGCTACTCGCATCCAGCGTTTCTGGCGTAAGAAGAGAACCGGAGCTGAGTACCTGCAATTGCGCGACCAGGGCCACAGGGTTCTTCAGAACCGCAAGGAGAGAAGGAGATTTAGTCTGCTCGGCTCCCGAAGATTCTTGGGTGATTATATGGGAATCAACGCTTCAATGGGACCTGGCTCGCAGATCAGAAACGCCATCGGCATCTCCAACAACGAGAAGGTTGTCTTCTCTTGCCGTGGAGAGATCTTGGAGGCCAAGTTCGGCCGATCCAGTAAGCCGAGTCCCCGTATTTTGGTCGTCACCAGCAGCAAGTTCTATGTTGTTGCTCAGATGCTTGTCAACGGCCAGCCTCAAATCTCTGTTGAACGCTCGATGCCCCTTGGTGCCATCAAGTTTATCGGAGCTTCCTCGGCTCGTGATGACTGGTTCTCTCTGGGTGTGGGATCGCCTCAGGAGGCTGATCCTTTGTTGAATTGCGTCTTGAAGACCGAAATGTTCACGCAGATGCAGCGTGTCATGCCCGGTGGCTTTAACCTCAAGATTGGCGAAGTGATTGAGTACGCAAAGAAGCCCGGCAAGATGCAATCGGTCAAGGTCCTCAAAGACTCCCAGCAGGCCGTGGACTTTTACAAGAGTGGAGGTGTCCACACTCAGCCCGGCGAGCCTCCATCGTCTGTCTCCAAGCCGACGCCCAAGGGCAAGCCTGTTGCCGCTCGACCCATCACCCGTGGCAAGCTTATCAAGCCTGGTGGCCCCAATGGTAGACCCTCTCGGATGACAAACACCAACCGAACTCCTCAACCTCGACCTGCTGCTTCTTCTGCAAGATCAGTTCCTCAACCTCCTGCTGCCATCAGCTCAGCCAAGACCGGACCATTTGGACGTCAACAACCACAAGCCGCCGCCGCTTCAATTCCTTCGCATACAAGACAACAATCATCAACCTCAGCAGCGACCAGAATGCCTCCTCCGCCGCCTCCCGCTGCGCCCCCCGCCAAGGCCAAGATCATGGCCAAGGTCCTGTATGACTTCGCCGGTCAGAAGGAGAACGAGTTGACGGTTAGAGCCGGTGACTTGATCGAGGTCGTCCAGAAGGAGAACAATGGTAAGTAGACATCTATTTCGAAACTCTTCAGAATGAAACTAATATTCTGGTGATAGGCTGGTGGCTCGCGAAGAACGGCGGCGCTCAAGCCTGGGTTCCTGCCGCCTACGTCGAGGAGCAGGCTCCTGCACCCGTCGTGGCCCCCCGCCCGCCCCCTCCTCCTCCTTCGGCCAATGGAGCGGCCGCCCGAGGCAAGCCGACTCCTCCTCAGCCGCCCATGAAGCGACCTGCCGCTGGACGCAAGCCTGCTGTCGCTCAGCCGCGCGACTCGGGCTTGAGCCTGAACGGAGCTAGCGGCTCCGACAACAGCCGCAGCAACACCCCGACTCCCAGCTTGGGCAACAGCTTGGCGGATGCTCTGCTCGCTCGCAAGAACGCGATGCAGAAGAAGGACGATGATGACGATTGGTAATCGAATTTTCGTGTGGAAGGGTCAGGGATGAGGTTGGGTCGATAGATCTAGACCCTTGGAATGATGCTTCATGATTGCACGACACGATTGCTCTTTGGACTGATGGTGTGGAGGAAGGATGGCGGAATGCTTTCTAGAGTGGCAAGCGGTTCACGATCAAACAAAGCTGTTTTTGAAGTTCTTTCAGCATACAGGATCAGGGCAACCCCGGATGGAAAGGCGGATTTGATCCTGTCTTGTGTGCACAATTTTTCTGTTTGGTAGATTCGGGAGTCAAGGGGATTCATGGCCTGCGCTGAAGCCGTCTTTGGATGCCCCCTTCTTTGTTGGTTTTAGGGCGATTGAAGGTAGTATAGAACCGTGGGCAATAAGCCCCCAAAAAGAGAAATTTTCTGTTTACTTTTTGTCTTATCTATGCTTAGTGATGCTTACTCCTCTCCGTCTTTTTGGAGGACTTTTCTGCGACGTAATAGCTCTGCTAGAGGTACATCCTCATCGTCAGTCATATCCTCATCCTCGTCTACGCCAAAATCCTGTAACCGCTCGCCATCCGCGTTCGTCCAACCGGGTTCTCCATCCGCGCCCTCCTCAGAACCATCTTCAGAGTCACTATCTATCATATCGTAGCCCTCTACGCCGTCCACCTCCTCCAGCTCTTCCATCATTCGTGACCGGTTACTCTGCCACCGCCGCCGATCCGCATCCTGCCGCGTCCTAAAGGCCTCGAGTTCTTCCTCCTTGGTCCCGTATCTCGGCACCACCATGCTCTCAGCATCCCGAACCAAAGGCCAACCTCCCTGCGCGGACCGTCGCACTTTATCCGGGTCTGGCGGCGGCCACATGCCTTCCTTGCGATTCAGCCCGTTCTCGGGCCACTCCCAGCCGACACCCCTTCCATCCTCACTCACGCGCGGGTTCCCGGAAAAGGGGAATAACCACAGCAACGGGTTCCCGGTCCCCATCGCCTGCGACAAATTCGCATAGATACCAACATCATACGGAAACTCCACCTTTTCCAGCCTCAGCTTCTTGCCATCAGGTCCCATCATGGACCAGAACTCGCCGGCATCTTTGCGGTTGCGGTCGCAGACGGCGGCGTGGCGGTCGACTTCCCAGCCTTCGATCATGGTCTCGTTGAGGACCCAGCCGCGGACGGTGGAGAAGAAGAGGATGCCGAGGGCGAGGGAGCTGAAGAAGCAGATGAGCATGTCGAGGGTCAGGAGGACGAGGATGGGGAGGGAAGGGCCGAGGTAGGATGGCAGGAGGCGGTTGTCCCAGATGGCGGCGAAGCGGGCGTAGAGGAGGTGGGCGAGGTACCAGAGGGAGAAATTTGTCCAGGCGAGGAAGCGGAGGAAGTGTGGGAAGGTTGTGAGGGAGACGCAGTTGCCTGTCCAGGGGCAGTGGTGGTCCATGCCTGTTTTGAGGGAGTTTGGATGTTAGTTACATGATGCTTTTGCGTGAGGATAAGGGGGGGGAGTAGGGCAGGGAGATGTTGGACGTACGAGGGACGCAACGCGCGCAGTGTCGGCAGTGATGCGCGCGAGGCGGTTTGGGCGCGGCGCACTTTTTGCACCAGCGCCGAACGAGGCCGTACTCGTCTGGCTCGGGGACCTCGATGACGGTAGCTTCGGGAAAGGGGTAGCGGCCTGGGTCGACGGTGCAGGCCTTGTAGTAGGTGTACCAGAGGCAGAAGAGGAGGGCGTTGTAGGTGTAGTTTTCGGAGCGGGTGAGGCGGCCGGGGGCGAGGGAGTCGTCGGCGACGTAGAAGAGGATCTGGGAGGAGACGGAGAGGAAGCCCATTAGCGCGGTGGCGCCGGGGACGGCGAGGCGTTTGATGAGGGGGGTATCGTTGATGTTGGCCATTGTTGCGCCATTTGGGGGGGTTGTTGTTTTCCAGAACTTAGGGGGGGGGGGGGGGGGGGGGGGTATTGTTCGAGGTCTGGCTGGATGGGTTGTGCAGCAGCAGACGTTGCGGAATTCGAGATTCGGCGGAGGATGGTGGTGGTGTGGGATGTCAGCGCACGTCGGTGCCGGGACGGACGGAGGAAAGCTGGGTCGGCGGCGGAGCAGTCGGGATTGGAGTGGAGGGGATGGGAGCTTGACGCGGTTCAAGGGGGGCGGTGCTAGGGGTGACGGGGCCAGGAAGGACGCGTCTTTTGCCTTGTTAAGGGGGGAATGTTTAATTGGATTATGTAAGGATTCGACAACTTGGCAACCCCCTGTGAAGGAAGGACGACGACTGCCTGCTGGTACACGTTCCATGTCCATCAATTTATCCTACGACTGCGAGAAATGTACTAAAATTTCAATGGTCTGTTGAATTGGAAACAACTCGTGTGGCTCTCATTGACCGCATGATTTCATTTGTGGCTGCGTTGTGAAGTCGAACAACCACCCAGACTTTGGGCTGGTGAAAGTCTCCCTCGATGGCACGCGATGCGCAGATACATCTGACGGCGGTGTGGTAAGAATGCGCCCAATTTCTTCCCAAGACTGCTTAATCTCAATTCTGACTCGTTCGCAGTGCTGTCGGTTCTTTTCTCTGGATCTCTTCCAACTTTGAGGGTCACTCTCTAATCGGTACGGGCCGGTTTGCCAAGACTTTTTTTGTTTCCCCGGTTCACCACGTGGGAAACGGGAAGAAGCCTTCTTCGCTGACGCAATGATGTTCCAGAGTATCCACGTCTCTCCTCCGTTCTCATACTCCTGCTTTCGGGAGGCCTGACATGGCTGGCGAGCTATCTCGCCGCATGGCTTCCCGGCGCGGACGGAAGATTCGGTATGTTTGGTCGGATGCCTAAGGAAATCCTCCCACAGCCAGTGCTAACATCACTTTTCAGACGAGCGCGCGGGCTCCAAGAGCACCTTTGAGCAGACGGTTCCCGCCAGACCGCGGCGGTACTTTGCTCCGTTGCTCATCTTTTGCATCTTTCTCCGCCTCGAGGTCTTTCATCGTGTGACTGCCCAGTTGCAGTGCTCTGTGCCGGGAGTGCAGGTGAGTTGCGAACATGCCCCCATCACCAGATGAACGACGAGACTGACACGTCCCAACAGTCGTTTTTATGTATCTACCTGGTCCTCTACCATGTTCTCTACTACCAAAGAGCCCGACCACCACCTCCTGAGGAAGACCCTTGGGCAAGTATCAGCGACGACATTGCAGTATGGGCCAACGGCTCCCGAACGCTGGCGCTTGGAAGTGCCTGCCTCTTCAGCTACGGTACTTTTGTAGCCATCTCGCAGGATCCCAGGTCAACCTTCTTTTGTTCCGCTCTGTCGGACAGCCGGATGACCACTCTTGCTTTCCAATTGCTGGGCCTGTTCTTGGACGCGGTCATCGTCTCTCTGTTCTGGCGCATCCTGGCTTGGACCAAAACGACGAAGCTCCGCCTGAGGACCTTGGGCGCCATTCTAGCTCTCTCGGGGGTCTTTATCAAAGTCTTCCAGATCCTCATCTCACCCCTCGTTTCCGCTAGTGAGGGATATCCGACTTCTTTCAGCGGGATCGACTCTCTGTACATCTTTGACATCTTCATCGACAGCTTCGCTTTTGCGGTTCTCGTCACCTCACTGAGTATCCTTGTCTATGAGACGAATCCCGTTACTCCGACTAGCATCATCACCTTCATCTGCGGCATCACGGCCACCACCCAAAACATATTGCATATTGGTAAATGGCAAATGGAATCCAGGGTGAGCGCCATCGGGCCTCTGTACCTCCTGGTCCTCGGCTACAGCATGTTCCTGTACAGCACCAATGTCCGCTCGCTCCTCTTCATCCCCAGAGCATTGTTCCTCGTGCTCATGGTCTCCATGTTTGTCGGCATGACTATCTACGGGCTTCTGAAGTCGGCCACAGTCAAGCAGCACCCACTCAATAGACTCATCTACGATGTCAGAGTGGAATCCGATCGATGGATGCGGCATGCCATGACTAGCGACAACCTGAACATCGCTGTTGACGTATACCATGAGCGTCACTACGGGAGGGACCCGCCTCCCAACTTTGACAAGTGGTACGAATTTGCAAAAGCTCGAAAGTCTGTCATCATCGACCACTTTGAGCAGATGGAGAGCGACGTACTTCCGTTCTGGGGCATCAAGCCGGAGGCGATCCGGCAAGCCTGCAATGAGAAGGTACATAAAGAGCCCCATATCGCGATGGTTACGATTGAGAACAAACAGGTCGCCCACAACTACGAGGGTGATGACGCAAATAAGAAGGTCCTGGATGAACTCGTCACCATGATCGGAGGCTTTGTCGAGCATCTATCCGACATGAAGCTGCCCATCAACCTAGGCAACCAGCCTCGGGTCCTAACACCGTGGTCTGAGCTCCACAGGTACACCGTTACGGGAATGAAGCAGAAGTTCAAACTTCTATCGTCGCGTTCGCTGGAAAATGCTTCGACCGAAGGTACTAGTGAGACTTCATTGCCCGATGGCAACGTTGAGAGAAATGCAGAGTTGAAGGCCGTGGGAGGCTCTCCGGCGATTCCCCAGTCCAGGCAGGCGATGTACGAATCGACCAAAGCGTGGCGGGACATGGAAGCCTCCGTGTGCCCGACCAACAGCCCAGGAAGGTCAGGGCTCCATTGGAACGTCCGCGACTTCTGCACCTCCTGCGTAAAGTGGCACGAAGACGAGCAATTCATGTGGAACTATCCGCAATCCAAGAGCCTCTGCGACCAGCAAGACCTTACCCGCCTCCACGGCTTCCACACATCGGCGCCCCCAATCAAGCCGTTACAGGAGCTGCTGCCCATCTTTGGCCGATTCAAAGCCGACGGCTTCAACGACATCCTCCTACCGCTGATGCCGCTCGCGGACGAAGAGCCGGAACACAAAAAGGACTTTCGGCAGCGCAAGGATAGCGTGTACTGGCGAGGCACGATTGGCGAGAACCCCATCAGCGACGAGGCGCTGCGCGGGAACCACAAGCACCGGCTCGTCCACCTCGTCAACAACGCGACGGCCGCGGACGACGTCACGATGATGCTCGGCGCGCCGTCCAAGGGTAGCTGGTACGCGTACGAGATTGTACGCGCCCGGGAGGCCAACGCCATCCTCCCGTTCGATATCGGCATAGCAGAGTACGCGTGCGACCACCGCACGCCGGGCTGCGCGGCGGCCAAGGCGGAGCTGGGACTCAAGCCGCCCACCTCCGGGGAGGAAGACCCCCTTGACCACCGCTACGTTATGCTACTGGACGAGGACACGACGCCGCCGCCGCAGATGCTCCGGACCATCCGGTCGCCGGGCAGCGTGCCGTTCATGTCTTCGGTTTTCGGGGAGTGGTACTCGGAGCGGCTGATCCCGTGGCTGCACTTTGTGCCCGTGGACACGCGGTTCCACGCGCTGCATAGCACGGTGGCGTACTTTGTCGGCCTCAAGGGCCGCGGCAAGATCAACGGGCGGGAGGTGGACTTTGAGGCGCGGTGGGAGGACGCCGAGTGGATCGCGACGCAGGGGGCGCGGTGGGTGGACAAGGCGCTGCGGAGGGAGGATATGGAGATTTACCTGTTTCGGTTGCTGCTGGAATGGGGACGGGTTGTGAGGGACGATCGGGATAGTATTGGGTTCAAGGTGCAAAAGTCATGAATTGGTTGTTGTATCATTATCCCCGTTGTTGGGAGTTTGTGTTTCGTTGATAGATATGGGTAAAGGGTTATTCACACGAATATTACACTCACTGTTCATGTGTTCATCCGTTCGATGGCTGGCCTTGAATCGTGTGCAACATCTGGTGGTCTAAGCCGTGGATCATGGATGACGAAGGTATGGTTCGCCTTGGCCATTGCTAAAGAACAAGGTAGCTCGTATTTATCCACGATGACCTAACCAGGTAACAATGTCGGCTAGTCGGCCAGCAAGTAATATGCACCCGAAGCTTAGAAACCCAATTCATCGGGGGCCCTTGGTTGGGATTCGAGAACCCTTGATACTTTCCCTCCTACTCAAATCTCCACAGAAACCAAACGGGAGCTCCGATCATCCACTCTTTGCTTCGTTCAAGTTTCTCTGCCGCCTGACGTGTTTCGGCCGAGAAGAACACTTTCTCTCAAAAAGTAAATCTACTTTGATTGAGCAGGATGACTGATATGCATTATGGGGTATTTGACCTTCAATAGGTAGTAGTAGTAAGTAGGAATACGGACTGGTACACGGATACCAATGACTGCATGCTTCTAGGATCACAAAGAGACATAGATTCGGCTGCGACCCGAGTGGGCTGCTTCTATCACGATCTCTATAACTCATACAAAAAGTGTACAGATGTTCGTTTTGTCGTTGTTTGCCGAGGCTTTGGCAAAACAGGGGGGGGTCGAGGGGAGCTTGGTTGAGGATGAAGCTCGTTTCAGAATGACAGGCGGGACAAAAATGGGGGTGTGGTGGCCTCGCTACCTCCAGGCTTCAAGAGCTTCAAGTATGAGAAGATGAAAGAGAAGAAAGGGGGCAAAATTAACCCCTTTCTCGGATTCACAAACAAAAAGGAGCTCCAGAGGTGCCGCAGCTTGGGAAGATCACCCTTTTGCGATTGGTCGCAGCTTCTCCTTCACAACAGCACTTCATCATTCGTGCTCGCAAAAGCAGTAGGTACTCCGTACAGACTGTAAGAGCTCCTATTCGTAAGGTACGGATACTGGCCCTTGCCTCCTGCCCGTGTGTGACGATGACAAGTGGGGAAGACGTGACGGAACGGGCAACCATTGCCTTACTCCCAGGCGGGGCACCCTTTCCACGCCTTCAACACGCTAGACAGGGCTGCCCCTCCCCCTCCCCCTCACCCAGCTCCGGGTGCCCCCCTCCCCTCTCTCTCAGGTTCCCCCCTCAGACGCAGACAACGCAGACATCCCAACGCA